AACTCTCCCAGCGGGCGACTGTGCGAAAGTTGTTTCATGGTCGGATGCCTCGGGAGAGAGTCAATGGATTGCTTCTGTGGTAAACTACCGAGGTCGTTTTTGGTGGACTCGGTCCAAAACGCCGCCGCAAGTGTGGACACAGCTGCTGAATCGCAGCGACTGTCAAATTCAGTTTCAAGAACTGCTTGGTTTGCTGCTCACTTGGGGCACTTTTCGGCAAGCCTTGAGCCACAATCGATGGCTAGCTTTTGTAGACAACATGTCAGTCCTTCACGCTGTAACCAAAGGTTCAGGCGGAGGGCCAGAAGTTCACTTGTGTGTTGGAAAGTTGTGGCTTGAACTGGCCACGTGTCAGGTTGACTTGCATGTAGGAAGGGTGGAAAGCAAAGCGAACGTTTCCGATTCCCCTTCTCGCGATGACTTGTCACTGATGGCCTTATTGAAAGCCACCTGGGTTGAGCCAGTCTTTCCCACGTGGGTTTTTGAGCTTTGGGAAGGCCCCCCAGTTTTGTGAGACACTTTTCGAAAGAGCAAAACAAGCGCGGCGCGATTCTGCAACTGTGACTGTGTGCTAGGGCTATTGCGCCGTCGTGTCGCGTTGTGCACGGCAAGCTGAGTGTCGGGCTGTTGACAGCTGTGGTTTGTTAGCTGCTGGCATGTCGCTCGCAACAGCTTTCCGAAGTGTTTGTCAAACTCCACAGCTTTCTTTTCTGAGGGATTCGAATGAATGAATTGCCCTTTGTTCGCGCGCAAGCTTGGGTGGAAGTAGCCCTGCAATCATGGACCCGCGGCTTGCCTGAGGAGCTCAGAAAAGCCCTTGCCCAAGCTGAGCATCTGCAAATAAACAAGCAGGTTCTGCGTGTTACTGGGGCGGGGCTGATACTCAAGGCGGACTACGTCTGGATTCGGCTGGAGTCTGCGTGGCAAGAATGTAGGACAAAGCTCCTTGCGTCCTGGAGGAAGCTGGCGCTTAAGGAAGATGGAGATGCGAAAGGCGCTGTTGCGCACCCTTTCCAGCGCCTAAAGCCAGTGGACTTCAAAGCCGCCTTCGATGAGCTGTTGCAGTTTGTTTCAGAACCAAGCGGGTGCCCAGCTTCGACCTGGGAGCACCAGGCAACCATGGTTTTGGTGTCGCGGGGCTTCTTGTACTCGGCTCATCTTGAAGGTCTTTATCCTGACCAAGTGGCCAAGCGGAGTGGTGCAGCCGCAGTCCAGGCCTTGTTGCGCCAAGCTGTGCTCAAGGCCAACGACAAAGGTCAGCAGCTAAAACGGCAGCGCCTGTGTGCTCAAACTTTGGGTGGTCCGACCGGTGGTCCAGACAACGCATCTTCATCGGCTAATGTAGCTGAGTTTCTGCGGAAGTACGAGCCACGTTTGAAGCCCGAGCCAAGCATGGGCCCTTCCAAAACCTTGGCAGCTCTGGTTGCGATGCCGCAAGGACAAGCCGAACAGTGGCTGAGTACCGCTGCTGCTGGCTTGAAAATTTCGAGTCAGCAGTCTAGTCTGCCTTCGGTGGCGTCAGGGTTGCGTTTGTGGCATTCCTTCGCAGTCGAGCACCTGAGATACGCCGAGGACCAAACGCTACCTCCAAGGTCTGCTTGTGATGCCTTGCATTTCCTCGCATTATTTCGGAACCCCGGCACTGCTCGGAATTATGTTTCGTATGTCAGGTGGGCTTGCGTTGCTTTCCACTTGTCAACACTGTGGTGGGATGGTCAAGTGGAGTTGGCGCTGAAAGGCCTGAAAAAGCAACATCAAGCTAACTTGGCCGGACATTTGCGCGAGACAGCGCTGTTGACTGAGGACCTCATGGCTCAAGTTCTGTCGTTATGCGATGGATTGCCTTTGCATGAGCAGTTCGGGGATCTCTTTTTGTTGACGTGGCAGTTTTTATTGCGCGGACCCAGTGAAGCAGTCCCATGTCTGTGGGGTACGCAGGCCGAAGTGCACGATCTGCCGCCTGACCGTCACTCTGCTTTGTGGGTCTCTGCGTTGGCCACAGTGTTTTTGAGGCTGAAGAAGCGTAAGAACAGACCGGAAGGCTCGTTGCTTGAAAGGCCCTGCATTTGCAAATCAGATGTCAATCCAATGTGCCTGGGTCATCGCCTGCTGCGTCGTTTGCCTCAAGTCCAAGCAGGCTGGCGTGTTTGCAGTTTGAGTGCCAAAAAGATGCTTTGCAAGCTTCATCGCTTGCTGTCAGTACTGCAAGTAGCAGGCCCAGACCGGTACACCTGGAAGAGCTTTAGGGCGGGCAAGGCTACGTCGCTTGCTTTGGCCGGGAATAGCATCCATCAGATATTGCAGGCTGGTGAGTGGAAATCTGCAGCAATTCTGCGTTATGTGGATCCTGATGTCTTGGACTTACCCGCATGCCTTGAATCATTGTCGGATGCAGACGGGGAGGAAGCTGAAGAGTGACACCCAGAGCTGCGATGGGAGGGGAGCAGGGCGTCGATGGGGGTTTTCTGATATCGGTCTCCGATGCGAGGATGTAAAGTCCTGGTGTGCTGAGCACTTTACCAGATCTTTTCTCATATCCTGAGTCGGTGTATCAGCACTCCTGTTGTTGCTGCATCTCCCCATCGAAGCTTGCAGCTACTGGTGGCAAAAGGCTGGTGGCATCTGGGCTCAGGTTTACTCTTCAGTTGCCTTTTGGGTGGTGCTTGAGATTTTGGGAGGATTGTGTGTCAGTTACAAGAGCTTGCTGTTGTGAGAGATGCACAATCTGACGAAATCGAATGGGCAGATGTTGCTCAAATCGGTTTTCCATTTATCTTTCCCACCCGCCCTCACCCTTTATTTACCAGTGGAGGGGGTTTTCTGATATCGGTCTCCGATGCGAGGATGTAAAGTCCTGGTGTGCTGAGCACTTTACCAGATCTTTTCTCATATCCTGAGTCGGTGTATCAGCACTCCTGTTGTTGCTGCATCTCCCCATCGAAGCTTGCAGCTACTGGTGGCAAAAGGCTGGTGGCATCTGGGCTCAGGTTTACTCTTCAGTTGCCTTTTGGGTGGTGCTTGAGATTTTGGGAGGATTGTGGGAGCAGTGAAGTGAAGCCTCTCGATTTCTGCTTTCCAGGATCCCTTCCCAACTGCGGCTGCGCGACTGCAGCGTGACCTCGAGGCAGGGGCGGCGCTCGTTCTCCAGTGGGCTTTTGGTGTTTTCATACTCCAAACCCTAAACCCTAAACCCTAAACCCTAAACCCTAAACCCTAAACCCTAAACCCTAAACCCCTGAACCCTAAACCCTAAACCCTAAACCTTAAACTGTACGCCCTGAACCGCAGCTGGTCAGGCAAAGCTTCCGGAGCTGCCGTGGGGCGGAGCGGAGGCTCGGGCTCGGACTGGCCTCCCGGCTCGGATGCTTGTTTTTTTCATCACGGCCAGGGCGTGAAGGTCCACAAATGGAAGTACAGCCAGGTCTACAAGGGCCCGGCGCCCAGCTCGGGGGGGGGGGGGGGCGTAGCCGTGTTTGCTCTCAACTTTGGGGCGAGCCCCATGAACGATGACTCCGTGGACACCAGACGTCTCTAAACATCCCTTTCAGTCCCTTAACCCTAAACCCTAAACCCTAAACCCTAAACCCTAAACCCTAAACCCTAAACCCTAAATAAACCCTAAACCCTAAACCCTAAACCCTTCTAATCTCTAAGCCCCCAAACCCCAAAGTCGCAGCTTTGAAAGCCCAGGCCTCGGTGGCGCGAAGCTGGCGCCAGACTGGGCCTGGCCTGCGGAGGCCCCGGCAGCCAAGGAGGCCCGCAAGGGGAAGTTACTTGCGGGCTTACGATCTTAGGGTTCAGGGTTCAGGGTTTAGGGTTTAGGGTTTAGGGTTTAGGGTTTAGGGTTTAGGGCTCAGGGCGTAGGGTTTAGGACTGTCGTCCTTATCATAACGGGATCCTACTCTTTGGGGGATTATGTTAGGGGTCCCGTATTTTCGTAAACTCCCATTTCTTCTTCTTTGCAAAGTTTGTGCATACTGTGTTATGCCTTTGTCTGTTGTGTATACTAGATGTCATAGATCAGATGTTGTGCATTATGTTTGCTATATCCCAAAGATTATACATTACTGTATATTAAGTTTTACATCATATATTAATTGCTATATGTGGATAGGCAAATAAATACATCAGTAAATGGATAAAATATAGATAAATAAACAAAACAAATAAGAAAATAAAGAAGTAACAGAGAAATAAGTATTTGTTTTTCTATATGTGATACATGAGGCGTTTTCTATATGTTTTTGTATGTGTCAAAGCCATTTCAGCCATGAGCCCCACGAAAGCTCCGAGGCGGCTCCTGGCTGCGTGCAGCTCTTCCGCACAGACAAAGCGCTGGGTCTCCTCTGCTGCTCAGCGGCAGGTCACGAAGTGAAAGGATGTTACGTGCTTCTTAGGGTTTAGGGTCCAGGGTTTAGGGTTTAGGGCTTAGGGTTTAGGGTTTAGCGTTTAGGGTCATCATGGCACCTTTCGTTTTGCTCGACCTCGATTTAGCTGAGGTGGGGATGCCATGGCTCCCGCGGGCAATTTCGAAGGAGACGCTGCTTTGGATTCCGCGCTGATGGTAGGCCCCGCGCAGGTCCAGTCCAGCTCTCGATTCCTTTCTTGGCGCAGGATGCGTGTACAGCGCTCACAAAGCCGCGGAAGCCTTGCGGGAGCACTTCTACTTCTGCAAGAGCGCGCCGCGCCTGTGATCTGGTATACTGCTAAGTTGCCTCTTGAAACCCAAGAAGTTTCGGCAGACGCCGATAATGAAGCTAAAATGATTCAGTCTCCTTTACCAAGGACCCATGAACGCCAGTTCCTTCGTTGCTCTACTGAGTCTCCCGAGAACAGTTCAGCCGATGCTGCAAAGGCAGCAGAAGCGCCCCAATTTTCAGCTCGACGGGCTCTCGGGCGGTGCAACCGCAGGACGGAAAAGCGAAGCACACGAGTTCACCGAATCGGGGGGTGGGGGCCCTGCATCTCGTTGTGCTCCCAGCAGTCCTAGCACTTGCCAGCTCCGGGACCTCTCCATCAGCCGCGGAACTTTCGACTGGGGTGTCATTCCCTGAGTGCGATGGGTAGCGATGAGTTCATGTTGCATGCATGCAGGATGGATGGATGGATGGATGGATGGATGGATGGATGGATGGATGGATGTATGCATGTATGTATGTATGTATGTATATCATTGCGTATTCTCTGACATTATCATGTGCCATTCTATACTACCCTGTATATATATATATATATATATATATATATATATATATATATATATATCAAGAAATTGTTATATATTGGCACATATTAAATATATTCTTTTAAATATCTTTCGAGATTGCTATATATTTCTTCTATTTTCTTCTCTATGATCAACTGTAGAGGTATGTATTCTTATTTTTGCATTAATATTTTGTGCGTGCGGTGATGCGAGAGACGAGACGAACAGCTTGTCATGCGGTGACACAGGTGTTTGGTTGAGAATTTGTCTTGCATCGTTCTAGATTGCACGGGTGGTGCACGTGGGGCTGGGATAACATAACTGCCGTGGAAGTGAGTGTAGAGAGTATCCTGGTCTGAGGTCAGCTGTCCAGAAGACCTTGTTGATGGCAAGAGACACGCTGGGCCCTCAATCTGCTCATGGTTTCGCATGCGTCATGCAGCCCCTGAACACTTCCCCTTGCCAAGCGCGAGCGAGATTTCGAGTGAGAAGCAGGTCATGTACGTGTGGTTCGATGCCCTCATCAACTACCTGAGTGGTATAGCACCTGTCCCAGCGATTCGTGTAGATGCCCATGGGCTCCAGGAAGACAGAAGCATCTGCCCCTGTGAGGATGGAATCGATCCTAAGAAGCCGCTCAGTAGATTCTGGCCTGCCAACATGCACATCGTCGGCAAGGTGCCGTGGCTGGAAATGGACCTTTTCGGGATACTTGTACCCTTGATGTGCCACAACTGAGGATATCCACTGGTTCCACACAGTTATCTGGCCTGCGATGCTGATAAGTGCAGGATGTCTGCATGTTTCTGCTTTGTGCGATGTTTCTGCTCGGAGTTGGGTGCGCCAGGAATTCGACTGCCTCAAAGCGTGGTTGTGCACGGCTTCATTGCTGGTGCCGACGGACGGAAGATGCCGGCACCTAAAACATGCAGGACGTACTTCTTTCCTCTCCTTCTACTTTAACATGATGGGCTGTCTCCAAGGTCCAAAAGTCTGGGCAACGTTGTGGACCCACATGACATGTTGCCTCCTTGGTGCCTGCACAGAGTACCCACGTTCCCAGCATGTGTCAGTTTTGTCACTTGGAAAGGCTAGATAAGTTTCCCTGCGACACCTTGCGATGGTATTTCTGCCGCGAGGCCCAACATGATTCACATCATTGTTGTTCCCATAATGTAAAGTGTGGCAGCGTGTCGACGAGACATTTCTGGCAGGCTGCTTTTGGGGATGATGTCAGGTTCAGTGAGGACGCGGGCCTCTGCTCAGTGTCGAGTTTTGTTCGTAGTGAGCTTGTGAGCTCCGCCACTTTTTGTGGACCTGGCATCCTCTGGTAGGACTCCCTTCGCTTGATGCACAATGCTGAGCTCTGCTGCCAGCCAAGCTGAACTGGCTGAACTCGTCTGTACCCCCCTCCCTGACTCCCTCTTGCCTCTTTGCGCTGAGGCGACAACTTGGGAAACCTGGTAAACCGCGCGGTGAACCTCAGCGGCGGCTCCGCGACCCCGGCGGGTGAACGGCTGGAATCTGGACTTCCCCCCGATTGCGAGCGCCAGGTGCCCCGCTGCGACGTCGAGGTGTCCCTTCCCTTCGATCTCAAGGAGCTCAAGGCGTCGGTCTCCGAGGCAAAGGGGAGTGCCGACGAGCTCGACTCTTCTACTCTAAGCACCACACGACTATGAAGAAACCCTGACATCTCCTCTCTGCGAAAGGAGGCCAGCACTTCTCAGCTGAATCTCGTCAGCTCTTCTGCTCGGCAGGCTTTCGAGGCCTACCGCCTCTCCGATGCGGCAGACCTCACCGTCCGAGCGGCAGGGGCAACGAACAAGGTGGGGGGGGGGCGCGTGTTTCGCAGGGAGTCGTCCTGCTTTCAACTGCTTGCATCTGCTCAGTGGATCGCTGACCTGGAGCCCTGGAAGATGAAGGCCAGCGGATCCAAACTACGAAGTGATATGCCCGACTGATGGCTTCCGCTTGTCTCTGAAATTGGCACACTTTGAATTTCGGGTGGTTTGCACCAGAGAAGGCATGAGCGATTGTTCGAGTGACGGCTGCATGTGAAAGTGTCGGGTTCAAGACTTCATCGGATCGTGCGAAGCACCTTCTTGACTTACAACCGTTCATGCCACTTTTCTTTCTGGAAGTGACAAGGAGCACTGGCAGAACCCACAAAAACTAAACCCTAAACCCTAAACCCTAAACCCTAAACCCTAAACCCTAAACCCTAAACCCTAAACCCTAAACCCTAAACCCTAAACCCTAAACCCTAAACCCGCAGCGGCGGCGGTCGTTTCGCCATCTGGGTGCGGACTTGATCTCAGCTGTCCCAAGCGAGGCGGCAGAGCAGCAAGCCCTTCGCAGCGCCTGCCTCCGCAAGCTGCTGGAGGCGGACTTGAGGAGCAACAATGAAGACAGGAGTTATAAACAACTTTGTGCGGTTAAGATGTTTGTGCTTCTGGGGTTGTTCAACCCCCTCGTCAGACAACTAACTCTGGTTTTAATTGTTTTCTAAGGGTTGGGGTCCTCTGAGTGGAACTAACTCTGGATTTGATTGTTTGCTTGCCGTTCCCTGGAAATTAACTCTGGCTTCAATTGTTTGCTTGGGGTCCTCCCTCTGGATTCAATTGTTTGCTTGGGCGGAATTAACTCTGCTTGCTCTTTGTGGACCACCGAGAAATAACAGTGAAATCCGGAGTGCTGTTGTTGATTTGGGTCGAAGCCTTGCTCTTTTACTGCTCTGTTAGAGACTACCGAACAACAATTCAATCGGGAGTGAGTTGTTTGAAGGCCCGAGGCAAAAAACAATTGAATCTAGAGCTAGTTGCTTCTGAAAACCAGGCCAAAACCTGATCTACCTGCAAGAGAATGATGCAATTCTTTTTCCGTCCTGGGTTTCGGATTCCGCCCTCACGGCCAGGCATCTCCCGATTTGATTTTTGTAAACTCTTGCTTCCTTTCTCCTTCGGCGGTTAACAATCTATAAAAAGCTGTACTACCAAGAACAGATGAGTTGGGTGACGGGTGCATTGTTGTAAGAGCACTTGCTGCTGTTGCTGCTGCATCGTTGCACTCGCAATCGCCTCTTGTGAGTCTTGCAGATCACGCTGTTGAGGCGGTCTACGCTTTGGCGCACTTCTTTGCGCCATTCATCCCTATCGCCGCAGAGGCCCACTTGACAGTCCCAGTTTCATCCGAAGCTTTGCTCCGAAACCATGCATGCTCTAATCCGCGCCACCCCAAAACATGAACCCCCAGCGAGAGCCCATCATCTGAGGACCTGAAAGTAGACACATGTTCGTTTCCATCGCGGATGACAATGGATAGCATGAGCACCTTTTTGACAGTGACAATGGTAGGAAGTCTAGCAGCCCTAAAACCAACCTAGTAAGCCTGAACGGTTGAGGTCTGACCTTTGCGGTTGCAAAGAAAGAAACAGCCAAACTCGCCAAAAGCGCTTTGTGAAGAGGCCATCTTCGCAAAAGTGGGCCAGCCGCCGAGGCCGCCCCATTTTGCGGTTCCTGCCGAACTCTTCCGACTTCCTCCAGTACGGGTCTGCCATAACAGGACAGCAGATCACTGGCCTTTCCAGGCCCATCCCCGAGTTGCGTGACGACTTCACAAACTTGGAGGATGGCAAGGAGGCATTGGGGCCACTGTGCCACTGCACTTCGCAGGGTTCCTCTGACAAGCGCCGTGGTCGCGCCGTTTTCGTTGGTTTGCTTGGACTTCGCAGCTGCAGGTCAAGGCAACGTCTTTGCTTTTCAGCCAGCTGGAGGTGAAGAAGGCTGGAGCTGGTTTTTAAGATGCTGGAACTTGCTCTTCCTTGCATCCTCACTCGGCCCATCCTCTCTCCCCGGCTCACGCCCTGTGTCATCCCAGGTGGACGTGGACACTGCCACCGAGAAGAAGGTGCTTTCCCAAACGGTTCCTTCTTGCCAAGCGTCTGTTTGATTCTGGGAGTTGGGGAGGCCGAGGCAAAAGCCAAGGCCGAGTCCAAGAAGAAGTGACGCGCTCGACAATCTGGAGGCCATGGGCCCGAATGGCCCAAGCACGGAAGGCAGAAGGGGCGGAAGAGCGGGTCTAGGCCACCTAATCACCTAAGCACGGTACTGGCCAGGTCAGGAGACAGCCCTTGACAAGGGGCGCGGAGTGCTGTTGTGTATATAGCAAAGTAGCCTTTGTGCCATCAGGAGAGATTGTACAGCCTGACCTGGAAAGCCCGAAAGCATTTTGCGCTTGCCCCGTGTTGCTGTGTTGTTCTCGCTCTCTGCCTCGCCCTTTGGGACTGGGCCCATACTTCATGAAGCAGTGGCAAAGCTGTGGCTGCTGTACTTGGCTCGCAGGGAATCCTTGCAACGTGCTCTCTTGATATCTGCGACACTAGGCATGGCCAAGGATGGATACGAGAAGCCCGCGGCCACTGGCCTTGCCGCGGGCCTGAACAAGGGCTTCATAGTGACCAGGAGGCAGCTGAAGCCGAAGCCGTCCTACCGCAAGGGCAAGAAGTGCGGCAAGGTGGGCCTCGTCCGTGAGGTAGTCCGCGAGGTCGTTGGCTTTGCGCCCTACGAGCGCCGCATGATCGAGCTGCTGAAGATCGGCTCCGCTTCCACCTTCAAGCGAGCGCTGAAGTTGGCCAAGAAGAGGTTGGGCACCCACCGCCGCGGCAAGAAGAAGCGCGATGACATGATGGAGGCCGTGGCAGCTATGCGCCGCAAGGGATGAACGTGTGACCGGTCAGGTAGAGAAGCAGACAACCCGTGGAAAGAGAGCACTGTGAAGGAAAACATGCTTCTTGCTTCTAGCGAGTAAAGCCCCAACGTGTCATGCAGACATTGTTGCCCACTGTTGATTGCAAGCGCACTGCACGCGTTAGGCCGTCAGGGCTCTGGTTCCCTCGTGTGCCCGCGCACGGGTCAGCGAGTCAGTCAGACGATCATTACTTAGCAGTCGGCTAGCTAGCCGGGAATGTCGATCGAATAGTGAATGAGTTAGTGACAAACCCGTTGCTGTTCTGGTTCGTGCCAGCGTAGGTGGTGCTAAGCTGCCAATTGGTGAGTGAGCAAGGCATGTTGGTCAATTGGACAGGTATCCAGGCCTAGCCCTTGGTTAGTTGGAGTGTGGGGGACGCGTGTGTTTCTTCACGAGTGTGAGTGCTTGGGCCAGTAGCAATCGCGTTCCTGTCAGTGTTAAGGGCCAGCGCGATTCATCGGGTGATAGTAGTGCCAGTGCACCAGTACTCTGGAGTTCGTGCAATATGTGTGTGTGTGTGTGTGTGTGTGTCCGCGGCATGTGCAAAGACAGATGGATGAGGATGATGATGATGATGATGATGATGATGATGATGATGATGATGATGATGATGATGATGATGATGATGATGATGATGTGAGCTTGTTGGCTTGTTGGTGAATGTAATGCAGAATTTCATTGTCCGTTGCATCTGACGGCTCATTGAAAGGGGTCCTGAGGGCACCTGGGCTCTGTCCGGAGCTCAACCGAGCAAGATGGCCAAGGATGGATACGAGAAGCCCGCGGCCACTGGCCTTGCCGCGGGCCTGAACAAGGGCTTCATAGTGACCAGGAGGCAGCTGAAGCCGAAGCCGTCCTACCGCAAGGGCAAGAAGTGCGGCAAGGTGGGCCTCGTCCGTGAGGTAGTCCGCGAGGTCGTTGGCTTTGCGCCCTACGAGCGCCGCATGATCGAGCTGCTGAAGATCGGCTCCGCTTCCACCTTCAAGCGAGCGCTGAAGTTGGCCAAGAAGAGGTTGGGCACCCACCGCCGCGGCAAGAAGAAGCGCGATGACATGATGGAGGCCGTGGCAGCTATGCGCCGCAAGGGATGAACAGCAACATTAGCGAAGCCTTACTGCCAGTACTGCCCGCAAAAACCAGGCTTGTCGAAAAGTTGCGCATGCTTAGGCATGCTTGCATCACGGTTTGGCCGGATTTGCATGATGCTTGTTGTCGGTTGCCTATGCACCCCATAGCTTGAAGTTGCAACAGCATGTGAAAAAGTAAGTTGCCGAACACGCAGCACATTGGGCCAGCTCGTGTCGAATAAAGTTGTAAACACAACATGGCATTGTGTGCAGCTTCTCAGCCACGGCAGAATTACAGTTACAGTAGGCCCCCTCAGCCAAGACTTGATCAGCAGCTTGCCTGAACATGGTTCGTTTTGCATGGGTTGTTGGAGCATAACACACAGTCTGCCGCCCTCGTGCTGGCCAGTGTCATGGAAATGGACGTCCCGTATCGGTTTCCCTTGGAGGACGCACGCTGGCGAAAGCACCTCTCGGAGGAGGGCTTCGTGGTTCTCGCCGGGGCACTCTCGCCTGAGGAGGTGGCCATCTTTGACAAAGCGTCGAGGAAACAGATCCCGTAGTCGTCCTAAATGCCGTGCTTGTCGTAAAGTAGCAGAAGTAGAAGTGCTAGGGCTGCTGCTAGGAGGGCGGTGCTGCCTGAAGACCCAATGAGGTTGAGACAGGGAAGGATCTCTTGTGGACCGACCTCGAGGCTGCCTATGGCGTGGCACGGGACAGCCTCGAGTCCTGGAAGAAGTGGCCCCTAAGCTGCACGGGCCTCAATACCATGATCACCCAGGATGCTGGGGCCTGGTATGTAAGAGCTCGGCCTGGGGTCAAAGCTGCCTTTGAACAGATCTGGGAGTCTCCAGACCTGATTGTCTCCATGGATGCCCTCCTCATCTGGCGGCCCTGGTGGCTGGAGGCCGGCTGGCGGCCCTGCACAGAGGGCCTTCACCTGGATCAGAACCCGTTCAGCAAGCCGGACTTGGAAACTGTCCAAGGCATGGTCCCTTTGCTGACTGTCAACGCCACCACCGGGGGCTTAGAAGTGGTGCCTCGCAGCCACACGCCCGAGGCGAAGGCCGACCTTTGTCGCGAGTACCCGCACTTGAAATACACTGGAGATTGGTGCCCCCTGGATCGGTCATATGAAGATGCAGTCCTCTTGCACGCTGAGCCGGGAGACCTCGTCTTATGGGACTCGCGGACAATCCATGGAGGGCGTGTGGGGGACGGACAGGTCGAGTCCTTGCCACGTTCTCTGGACCTCGCCAGGCTCTCGGTGACTGTGGCAATGGTTCCGCGCGCGCGAGCAACCCCGGAGGTTCTGCAGGCTCGGAGAGAAGGTTTCCTGAAAGGGCGAAACTTCAACCACTCGCCCCACGAAGCGGGCACAAGCTCCGGCACGGTGGCCAGTAGATCTAAGAAGCGCCACTCAATGACTGAGCTCAACGAATCGCAGCTCGCATTGCTCTAGCCACGGATCCCGTTGCCAGGAGGTTACGGGCCCGCATAGGAATGCCTTGCGTGCCCCCCCCCTGGTCTGGGCATCGCCATGACGTGCCGTGGCAGGTGTACAGTGCGTCACTTGGCACGATGCGAAAAAATGGCTTGCGACCCTTTGGCTACTTCAAAGTGGGTGATTTAGGTATAGTTGCGTTTGGACTCTTGGATTCGCCGCCGCATTTGCAAGAGATCAAGAGCATCAAGATGCCACCAAGGGCTGTTGCACCAGCACCACAAGAGGCAAGGACGCGTGCACACCTAGCTGCACCACACCAGCTTGATGCACAACCACTGCTGTGAACATACAGTAGCCTCCGGGGTGTCCGGGCCAGTTTGATGTTTCCCTGCATTGCCTGCCTTCGAATGCGCCAAAATGCCGGAGCCATGTTTCCGACCAGGGTAGTTAGGTGTCCGACGGAAGGGTGGGTTGTAATGTAATGACTTGCGAACTCACCGAGGCCTCATGACTACAGCAAGTGGGACGGCATCGCGCAGTCCCTGGATGAAGAGGCTGACGCGGAGGCCCGAGAGTCTCAAGCTCAGGCCAGGCCGTCAGAGCAAAGCCCGCCGAAGTGGAGGACCCGATGGCCTGGCCGGTCTGCCAGGAGATCCCGTGGCACACTGTCGGGTTCTTTTCCCAGCCTTGCTTTACCAGGTGCAGGTAAGGGGGGGTCTCTGTTTATGAGTCGGTCGGAAGGCCTTTGGTCGACCGCGTCCTGGATGAGCACTTCGGACCGGAGAAGGCCGAACAGCGGCCGAGCGGTCCCAGCCTTGAAAACAAGGCGAGGCTCGAAGTGGCTGCTGCTCTCTGGGGGGGATTCCGGAATCAGGGGCAACTTTTTGGGGTCCTTGTAATAGGGGAATCCTGGAATCCTACATTTTGCGGGTCCACTTTAGGGGCCCCTTGTTTTCGTAAACCCCCGTGTGGAGTTGCTCGGAGTTTGCTGTTCGCATCTCTTGGGATGCTCGCTTTGCAGGTGCAGGTGCCCGTCTCTCCCAGCACGGAGCCAGCAGGCACAGATCGGAATTTGCTGGAACAGCTGCGCTTCCTGAAGCATCTCAAGCTGCTTCCGCTGCCACAGTACGCCGTGTGCCATTGATCAGTCCGTGCGGACCTCACAATGGTGGCCTCGATGAAGGCTGCGGGAGACGAGGCCGAGGGCAGAGTTTTGCATAGCCACGGCCCCTCTCTGATGGCTCCAGGCTTGGCACTCGTAGTCATAGTCGTTGCAGGCCGTGCTTTTGCGCAGCCGTTTGTCCAAGAGATTCCAGACAGTGCGAACCTAGCGTTAGCAACACGCACACACACACACACACACACGCATATATATATATATATATATGTATATACATATATATATATGTGTATATATATATATATGTGTATATATATATATATATATATATATATATATATATTTATTTATATGTGTGTATATATATATATGCGTATATATTTATATATACACGTATCCTCCGTAGTTACTCTAGTTCTGGCGGAGGGGTCGGAGGGCTCCGGCATGTCACTGTCGCTGCCTGCCGGCTTCTCGCCTTGATATGGCTGCTGAGCCCGCAGGCTTCGAGGACTCTTTCGGCTTCGCCTTTCGAAGGGTTTTTAATGGCTTAGGACTTAGGGTTTAGGCCCCAGGGTTCTTGAGAGGACGTTTCCCACGTGTCAATCATGTTCATGCCCGTTCTTGCCCTTTATGCAGGACCTTGTCTCTCTCTTTGCGGCAGCGTTGCCAGATGCCAGCAAGGAGCCTCGCGAGACTGTGAGACAAGCCGTGGATAGCCGTGGTATCTGCCATGTCTGCCATGTCTGCCCTGGCAGGATCCTGATGGAGAAGTGCGGATGCTGCTCGACGCCTTGAGGGAGTTTCTCCGTGGAGTCCATCCGGAAGATGCGGCCGCCAGCGTTCTGGCAGGCAGCATCTTGCATGTGTTGATGCTCGAGTAGATCCAGTTTTAGCAGAGTCAAGACCTAACATCACACAAAAGCACTCTCAAACGCACACATCCTTTGTTCGACTGGTGGTGTGGCTGCAGTGTTCAGCTTGGAACCGCCCCCCGCTTTGCCTCATGTGTGTTGTTGCAGCCCTTCGTGTGCGATGGTGCATCTGGTCTCGGAGCGTCCACGGGAGTCATTGGTGCCAATTCTGCTGCAGCACTGCGCTGGCCGCAAGGGGAAGGTGAAGACGAGTATCGCAAAGAACTCCTTTTGGCGCATTGCCTTCCCTCTCTACTATGTTCTACTGAGCATGACCTGCAACCTGCTCTTCCTGGTGGGTTCTTTTTTGTTCCTTCCGATCAAAGAGAGGGAGTTGACGGTTTCGTTTACTTTCGTTGTGGAGGGGGTGGACGTGCGCGAGGTCATGTCATCGAACATTTCGCTATTTCAGCAGCTGGAGCAGAACTTTACCGGGTTGCTCGCGTCCGACGAGAGAGGGCGCATTAAGCCCCACCACTCAAAGATGCAGTGGAGAAAGACAACTTCCTGCAGCTTGGACGATGCAATGCTGTTTGATGTCAACATCTATCCGCGGGATGGTTACAGCGCTAGCGCCCTGGAGCGGTCCCTGCCCCCGGTGGCATCCATCAAGGACGCCCTGAATGGGAGCCTCACTGCCATTGGCATCGACCGGCTTGCCTCCGAGGAGTTCGAGGTGAACGTTCTTAGCCGGCCCCGGCTTGTAGAAACGGCCGTCGCGCAGAAGTGGGCCGTGGACTTGGGCTGCAACCTCTTCATCATCGGCAGCGCCCTGTTGGCCTTCATCTCTGGTATGGACATCTTCGAAGACGTGCTGCTTTGCGGCGCCTCGGCAAAGGTCCGACTGGAACCTTGGAAGCTGCCTTTTTGGGTTTTAGGGGCATCTTCCAACAATATGGGGACCCGAAGCCCAACAAGCTACCCCTTTTTTTGCGAAGGTCCCCCAAGTTGCTTTGGGGGTCTCTGGGCTAGAGGCCTTTCTGAAGGCATCTGCTGCAAGGATGGTGCAGGCTTCAGACGAGTGGGTGGATCGCTGCGACACCGGTTCTAGAATTGTTGATGAAAGTCTTCTTCGGCAGGGAGCTAGTTCTTTTCGGACCCGAAAACATCCCTAAACCCGAACCATCTTCATGACGTTGCGCCCAAAAGATCCCCACGAGCCGCCCCAGTGCACCCCCCGGAATGGCAGGGCTGAAGTTGCCCGGCACGTCGACGTCGACTTCGTCTTCTCTGCGGTCGAATCCAAGCACCTACGAATTTCTTGGGAGCGATGCTGAGGCGGCGGCGGACTCAGACTTTCACGTCATGGTGGGGCCAAGAGCAGAGAAGCTACTGTATCTGGCTGGTGGCTTGGTGTTCTTGGTGGGGACATTTTACTTTCAACACCCGCAGATGCTCAGCCACCGGCTTCCCTCCGAAGTCTTGGCAGAAGAGGACGTCTTGTTTGCAGCCATCTGGATGTTCATCATCGGCTCCATCATCTTTGTATTTGCCACCTTCCTGAACGCGCTGACGCTGAATGCCTCCGGCCGCACCTTCATCCACTGGTCGGTTGCAACTTGCGGAATCTACGAGTTGGGTGGCATCTTGTTTGTGATGGGCTCCGTGTGCTTCATGCCAAATCAAGGCTGCAAGGAGGGCATGGAGATCCTGGGCGCATGGTGCTTCATCCTGGGAGCCGCGTGCTATGTCCTGGGGGACTTCATCGATTTCATGAAGACCAGTGCGTTGATCTTCTTGCGGCTGAGGCAGGAGGAGGCGGCACGTCGCATCGAGCGAGCGATGACGGCGTTTCTCTTCCGCCGGCGGCTGGAGCAAGCTGGGAAGCTCTGTAGCAATCCTTCGCAGTCCCCTCCCACACTGTCACGAAACCTCTCCCGCGTTCGCAGTGGCAACGTTGCCCAGGCTGGACTGGTGACAACCTTCAGGCAAGCAATGCTTCAAAGGACGATCATACAGGCCTTGCAGTTGAGGGACGCGCCGACGCCGGACTTCCGATGTGAAGTTTGAAGTCTCAAGGGACTCAAGGCCGCCAATGGGCTGTTCGTCCCAGCACTTATTCAGATCATGGCAGCGCTTGGTAGCTTGTTTCATCTCGAGAGCCCTTAAAGAGGCAGGTTGTCGCGCCAAAGAGTGCCTACAGGTAGAGCTACCAGAGCTACCTTTCTTGGGGCACCATGTCCCGAGGGTCGCTTGAACAAAGGGACGTGTTACTCAGGTCTTGAAGAGGTCCAGGGAGTGGTGGTGTCGGCCGGGTGTGCTTCTTTCTCTGGCTTCACAGGGTCCTTTGCCAAGGCTTTGGGTAGCAGGACATCTGAGGGAGCAAAGCTGGAAAGGTCCTTGACGAACCATGGCTTTCGGGGGCCCCTCCATGCTCGTCAGCCCAACAGCGCCCCCTGGAGTCTCCAAGCCAAGCCAACTCCAGGAGCCCGACATGCGCTCCTTGCCTGCCGTGGCCTGGCTGCACTGAGGTCCCCCATCCTCGGAAGAGTCGCAGCCATGCGAAGCTTCAAGAGTGTTTTCCGGAGCCCGAGAGTTTCGAGTGGAATGCCCGGAAGAGAAACGGAAGAAGGCTAGCCCCCATGAAAGCCTCTCGAAGTTCTCAGAGGAGGAGCAGGGCGGCCCTCCCTCAGCTCCTATGCCTGCAAGACGTCCCTGTCCATGGCCGCTTGGAGACCGTGGATCTTAGGCATTCGGGGGGTAGGCTTCGGGGTTTTGGGGGGAGTCTTGCAGGGAGGGTAAGGGACATTATTAAAGTTTTGCTGGTTTGATCCCTAATTGAGGTCAAGAAGCTTCTGGCCTTGCACAGCTCAGCTTATTCGGCCGTGCTTACGCCCTACCACGACAACGGCCTTTTTGCCAATGTCCTCCAGGCATGCCCAGTGGACCAAAGCTGACTGGTTTATTTTGAGTCCGACTGCCACGCAGGTGTGTGACGCACTCTTGCTGGCAAGATCAGGCAGGCCTTGCACAAAGCAGCATAAAAGCTTAGCAAAGTGCTGCAGATCCGGACTGAGTGACGCCACAGCTGCTACGTCACTTGGGGGAGACCTGTGCCATGGAATTGAGCACTGCTGTTCAGATTACACTTCTGCCAGATCAAGTCCTTCTGAGAGCCGAAAGGAGTGCCCGTCCTCGTGGACTGGAAGCGGAAAGGATCCGAAGGCCGGGGCCCTCACCCCTGGAAGAGCCGTGCAACAGCCGAAGCTTCCAGACATGTCACAAACCCAAAACCACGCGCGCCCAACTACGGCTAGAGGCCTCTGAGACCCCAAGCCCAGGGTGGGTGCGGTTTAGGGTTTAGGGTTTAGGGTTTATAGGGTTTAGGAGTTCGAGGTTTTTCAAAGGAAGTGCTGGGGCGACACCGAGGCCACTTCCAGTATGGGCCCGAGGGCTTTGACCTCTTCGAGCACCTCTTCGAAGCCAGCGGCCGCTGTCGCTCTTTGCCTGGATTTTCCACGGCATGGTTGTCTGTGGGCTCCCCTAAACCCTGAACCCTAACCCGAAAGCCTAAACCCTAAACCCTAAACCCTAAACCCGAAGAGCCCAAAGCCCGAAGCCCTTTAAGCCCTGAGCCCCAAAAGATGCTGGAACTGCAAAGCGTGCTGCCCAGGCTCTGCCGCCAATGGCTCGGGCTCGGACAGCCTAAGCATGCCGAAGCCTCAGCATTGCAAGCAACAAGTATTGGCAGAGTGCGAGAATCTCCACAGCTTTTTCACCGAAAGTCTCATGCAATGTGTGGGCCAACCACTGAGAAAGAAGAGTGCATGAAAAAAAGGAGATGCTCTTTCGCTGAGGCCTGGGCGCATCAACTGCCTCTTCATGAACATGCTGCGCGGTTACTTCTGGTCTCTGCCTGACGATACCCTGAAAGAGCTCCGCCTGCGGTATGCAGCAGCCATTCGTTACTTGAGCAGCACAAGTCCGGATGTTGCGATTGGGGGGGCATCATTGTAGACGACAGTCGCTCAGTCGCCTGAGCTGATGTAGGTGTTCTTCAGCCAGCCCAGCATGTTCAGCGGAAGTTGGACGAGCAATGTGCCGGTTGGAGCGAGGAGGACATCGTGATGGCTCAGCTTCCACTTTCGGGATCTCCTGCGGCTCATGACTGCATGTTGCCTGGCAGGATGCCTGCATTGTGGGCGTGCACAAAAGGCTGGCTTGCTCAGAGATGGTTGCCTGCCAGCTGTCGCAGCGAGCGCCCTCTTGCACGGAGTTTATCGCCAAAGCACGCAAGATACTTTCCGCGAGTACCAAACAACGAAAACTGGTCTGTTTGGCCACGGATGACATGAAGGCCACGTGGTTCTGTGGCGACCAGGGAACACCTAACAGTCAAGTAGATTGCTCTAGCCACTCGTTCTGACATGCATGAGACATTTCTTGGAAAGATGCAGGCCGTGGAGGATTTCGAGAACGCATTCCCGCCAGATGGTGATGTGAAGCTGTGCTGCCGCGGTGGAGTGAAGCGCTCATCGGGCGGTGTTCGTGAAGATGGCATCGACAACGAGGCCCTGCCGGAAACAGAAGAACCAACAGCTGCCGATGCACGTCGGAGTTCGATCTGTCTAGATTGTGGAGTTTGTACGAGTTTGGGTAGCCTACATGTTGTACAGCCATCATGCTTGGATGGTGGCAGCTTTGCCTTTGCGGCTGGCTCTTCTGAAGGTGCACAGGAGCCCTTGTGCTGAAGCTGACGCGGAAGACGCGCTCATCGATGCTCTGTCCCTGTCCAGATGCCAGCATCTGGTTTGCGTTGACTCGAACTTGGCGATCTACGTCGCGCTGCTGAATCCTGAAATCCAGCTCCATGCGCTCAGCAGCGTTCTTCCCGAGGCTGACGACAACCCACGCACCCCGAAGATTAGACTCGAGATGAACCTGAACGATGTCAGTGGGCTGTACCTTGATTTTTTTACCAACCTCTTCGGGGCCCTGGCTCTCTAAGTCCTAGATTTCGGCGGCAGCTCATGACCTCCCTCGTGTACTTCAGCCTAAGCCCCCGAAGACTGAAACGAGCCTAAACCAACAACCCCAAACCTCAACAAAAATCTTCTTCATTGACATGCCTGCCTTGGGATGTTCCCCCTCATACTAGCTGTCCTTAATAGGGATTCCGGTACACGGGCTGTTAGAACAAGGGGGAACCTGCCAAGCCCCCTTAAAGCTGCTCCTCTCAGGGTTGGGAGGAGGCGGCTGAGATGCCGGAGGAGCCCGTGCACGCCTCCTACGAGGTGGTCTTTGCGCCCATGGTCTTCATTCGCAAGGCTGGGAGGGGAGTTAGGGTTGAGGGTTGAGGGTTGAGGGTTTTTAGGGCCCCAAAGGGCCTGAGGAGGGTTTTTGGACGGTTTAGGGCCTAAGGCTGAGGGTTCTTCCTCTTCCTTCCTGGCCTTGCAGCGTTCAGTGCTTCCGCTCTTTAAACCCCAAAGACGACCAGGGCGATCCTCCTTGCAAGGCTTCATGCAGGTGAAGGAGGTGAAGCAAGGTCCACGGCATGTTCCAATTCTTATCTTACTCGTATCGGGGCTATGGGTTAGCCGCGATGGCAGGAGTGCATCAGAATTTTTGGGCAACCCACTGAGCCATACTCCCCAAACCGCAACGAGCGCTGGAAGCCGGAAGCCCCCTAAGGATCTCGAGAGTCCGAAGCCCCCCCCGATGGTGTTATTCTCCCACCAAGAGGGGTTTAGGGTGAAGTTGGCCCACCCTCCCTTACCTTGCGCTTCCTTTGGGGTTGCAGGCGTGGGGTAAGGGCACAGGCACCGTTCGTCTGATGCTCCTTCGGATTCTTCCGATTGTCAAGTGGTTCCATACTTGAAGCCCCCAGCCAACAACCCCATGCAACTCCACACAGCTCGAAGCCCCAAACCCCCAAAACCCAATATCCCCTAGCCATTCCGGCAACCACTTGCCAGGGTCCAAGCACGGCGACGGAGCTGCTGGGGGCTGCTCGGCACATCTCGGCACGAAGCCCCGAACCATCCTGAGCCCCAAAAACTCCTATCAAATCATTAAATGAGTGCGGGCCCTGGAGAACCCACCCCAAAAACTCCTAAATCAGTGACGGCCCTGGAGAGCCCGAGGCTCGAAAGTCTGGCGAGATCGTCCATTGCACGGGTCGCGGCTTCGATGGCTGGGTCGAGCTGGAGGGAGGCGAGCGTGGGGTCTGGACGTTAGGGCTAGGCTGTATGGCGTGTGGGCAGTGTGCTGTCTCCTCATGCAGCTCAGAAGGGCAGTGGCGCAGCATAGCCGCTACATAGCTGCTGTTAAGAAGAAAATGCTTCCCTACCAGAAGAAAAACATACACGTTAGTCGCTGCTGTCCTCGTAATGTCTGCGACGTCTGTCCTTGCCTGGCCTGTAAGCTGGCATGGTTTGTGTTGCGGGAGGCGGTTGGATGCTGGTTGATGGCGCCCGTGGCGGCAAGCAGTCACTTGGCCTGTCCAGGTTGTCTATTTGTTAGGAGCTTCGACGTCTGATGAACTCCACAAGGAATGCAGCAGCTGGCCTACTGCTGAAGCCCACCGGGCAGATCCTATCAGTACCGCGGAGCGACCGCGTCGTGAAACATGCAGCAAGTGCTGAGCAAGTGCTGAATACTGTGCACTGCAAGTCTGCTGCTGGTCGGCTAGATGTGCTGACATCAGCGGATGGCGCGGAAACCCAGTATGTGCCCGGCAGGCCTTCGAGAAGCGTGACTTCGACAGGGCCTTGTCAGCCGGGGGACCCGAAACTCGTGAAACAAGGTGAAGGATGTGAAAAGGATGTGAAAAAAACGAGATCCGGAACGAAGTCTCGCCCAGATGCGCAGATACCATCTGCTGAGAGTGCGCCCGCGCAGAGGCCTGGCAGTCAGCGGCCCAAGCAGCCCAACAGGCTGGCGCCGCATTGCTCAGCCTGCAGCAAGGTGGAGCAAGGTGGCTGTACCTGCGACCTACAGCAAGCTGGGGCGGGCTGCGCCTGGTCCAAGGCTCACGACGTATGGATTGGACTGATGTGCGAGGCTGCTTCCTGGTCTTGGGAGATTGTGTCTCACAAGGCCCTCAAAAGCATGTTTGCCGATGTCAGGTGTCCTCTTTGCAGCAAAAGTGTGGGAAACCCGAGTCGTCGGAGGCCGGGCCCGGTCAACATCGTCACACCATTTTACACCACGTGAAAGACGGTTTGTTCCCACGTGCAGTGGGCGCATTTCAGTGGAAGTCACAAGAGCAAGCGTATGCCAGCGTCCTCTCGTGGAGCGTGCGGCTTGAGCAGTTTGCTTGCTGCAGGCCACAGCGACAGCGGTGCTCGCAGAGGCGCCAATGGAGCCTTTGAGAGCAACTCAAGTGGGGAAAAGCGGCAAAGCTCATCGTGCCGGGGGGCAGAGGTGCCCCGCAGCTGCCGTGCGCGGCTGCTGCGTGGCCTTGCGAGGGAAACGCTTGGGGACCTGCCGGGAGCCAGGCGCAGCCGTGCGATGCCGAGAATACTTTAACCTCCCCCCCCAAAGCATTTCTCCACACTCAGCCATCCTGATGCTCCTCTGCATGGTTTTGTGGCAGGCAGGACTTCGCGTGCGCGGCAGCAGAAAACTTCATGGACCTGCACGCGCAGGACGCGCTGCAACCATCGTCAGGCGTAGACTCAGAGGCACAGATGGGATCACGTCTTGCGAGAGTAGGGTTGAGGGTTTAGGGTTCTCCAGAGTGGCCAGGATGCATTGGCTCGCGTTGAGCAGCGGCTGAGCGAGGAGAAAGAAAGTTCGAGTGTTGAGCATGATTGTGGTCATGATGAGTAACTGGAATCTATTACTAGGACTAGTACGCGTCTTCGTCGTCGTGGTGGTGGTGGTGGTGGTGGTGGTGGCGATAAGTGGTAGTGGTAGTGGCAGTGGCAGTGGTAGTGGCAGTGGCAGTGGCAGTGGCAGTGGTCGTCGACGACCGCCGCAGCCGCCGCCACCCTTCGTCGTCGTCGTCGTCGTCGTCGTCGTCGTTGTAGAAGGAGGAGGAGGAGCGGCAGCAGGAGGAGGAGTAGTAGGAGTAGGAGTAGGAGTAGGAGTAGTAGCAGTAGCAGTAGCAGTAGCAGTAGCAGTAGCAGTAGCAGTAGCAGTAGCAGTAGCAGCAGCCGCAGTAGCAGTCGTAGCAGTCGTAGCAGTCGTAGCAGTCGTCGCAGTAGGAGTAGCAGTAGTAGCAGTAGTAAGGTCATGAATTGCTGTGGCACGTTCCCGCCGCCGTCCATGCATCATGACCAAGATTTTTGCAGAATCCCAGGAAAGTCAATGATTTCCGTATCTCAAGTCCAAGCCGTTCTCAGAGCATCGGCTTCGAGAAAGATGCTAAACCAGGTGTAGGGCCAACGGAAGTTTCCATGCAACAGCAGCTTTGAACATTGAGTGTACTTGCGAATAGCTTGCCTTGTCCGTGATGGCAAGGCGCACCAAGTTGTAATTTCTATCCACCGTCCGGACCGCGGGTGAGGGAGTGTTCGTGAGGTCGGAGTCCACATTGGACTTAGAAGACCTGGCACCGCGCACAGTTACCTTCAAATCGATCATACATCCCCTTTGTCCCACAGAGACTACGTGAACATGGCTTCGAAGGCAAGTCGCTACGACACCCAAGTCTTGCGCGAGTACTTGCTGGAACAGGAGGTGCCAAGCTTGCAGCTGCCTTGCAGAGACTGCCTTCAAAGCTATGCTTTCAAAAGACTAATATGAGAAAATATGGTAGTATAAGACTATACGATAATATGCTAATAAAGTAATATAGCAAATATGTCAATGTACTAATCAACAAATCCTGGCAGGAAGGCAGTACGAGGCAGCGTCAGGGCGAGGTGAGCTGCAAGCCAAGGGGAAACGTTTGCTTTTGCTTTCGGAGAGCTGCACACGGATTCCGCCTCTAGGATGCGGAGCAAGCGACTCTGCCCGACGTGTACGATCTCAGACAGCGCTGTTTCCGAAGGTTCTTCTGCCACCCCAGTCACCAGCAAAGAATGTCCTGTGTGCGCAAGTCACAGGATCCGGGTATTGCTGGTGGCATCCTGTCTGTATTTACGCAGGTTAGTTTCATTGGTGCTGCAGCATTGCTATGTGGGGGTGCTGAGGTGAATTTCATTGCGTACTGGTCCACCTTGAGCTACTGCGGGTACCCTCCTGGGTAGCCTTTCACACTTGCCTGGGTGTTGGAAGCACTGGTGTTTTCAGGTATTCCTACTACCTTCGGGTCGAGGAAATTGGCACGAAGGCGGCTTGAGATGCTGTGAGCGCCTACGCCGTGCTACATAGGGAGCTGTCCCGTCCGAGCGAGAGTGTCGCTCTGCAGGCACTCCCGCCAATGGAAGTAGCCCTGGCTTGTGCCAGGGCCCCTTAGTTTTGCGCAATAGAAGGTATGCGCCTGAGATTACTTGGGCCTTTTGTCAGGTCTTCCTTCTGGGCACGCAGGCCACTTTGGAATTGGCCGCCACCTCCTTGGGCCTCTGCAAAAGACTGTTGGGACATGTTGGTGTATTTTGGTATACTATGCTCCGTGTTTCCGAGGCTGCCGTTTGCTTAACTCAGCCAGTTCGTCTGGGCGATGGCAGGAGGTCAGCACAGATCAACCGAGTGCCATTCTGCTCTCTGATTCTTTTCAGTGGCTTGCAGTAACACCTTCAGCAGCTGGGACGTTCTTGCGTGGCTCGCCGGTGCAGGGGGCCTTACAGAGCAGCCATGGTCATGTGGGGTGAAAACCCCCCATGTTGAACCCTCAACCCTAAACCCTTCAAAGAATTTCCCCGATGTCTTACCGAGGCAGGAGCCCGTTGCTCGCTGCTGCTGGACGCACTCTGCCTGCCACTGATGAAGCGCGGGCGGCCTCCTCGGCTTACCCAACCTGACTTAGGGTTGTAGGGTTTTAGGGTTGGTTAGGGTTTGAGGGTTTTAGGGTTTAGGGTTGAGGGTGTAGGGTTTAGGGTTTATTTGTTTCTGGCCGGCTCCAGTGTGAACCAGTAGCCTCGTATCTCACCATCTTGTTTTAATTTAAGACCGGAGAGGAGAGGTTTGAGATGTGTGAGACATTGATCCAGTTTGATAAAACAGAGAGCAAAAGCCTAAACTGAAAGCCCTGAACTCAGAATATTGTCCGACACTCGAGAAATTTCTACATTGAGCACGTCAGACCAACATGCTGTGTGTACCTGTTACTCGCACATCCATCGCACCCGACTTCCGAGAATCCCCAAGTGCATCACCCCAAGCTCCCTCTCCTAGACCCTAGACATCCCTAGACCCTAGACCCTAGACCCTAAACCCTAAACCCTAAACCCCAAACCCTAAACCCTAAACCCTAAACCCTAAACCCTAAACCCTAACCATGAGCTCAAGGTCCAGTTTGCTGTTTCTGCTGTCGGTGCTGCCCCCGGCGCTGCAGACATTGTCAGAAGTCCTTGGTATGTTAAAAGTTGGGATGTTCCCCCCTTATACTAGCTAGTACCCAATACTATAATGTATAGGGGGGAACATCCCAAGTCTGAAGGACCGGCATCGACCATTCTGAGGCCAGTACCTTTGCTTTCGCAATCGGCGTCTTTGTCTTTGCCGTCCGGCTCCGGGGGGAGCATGGCTCTGTGCAAGATGGGCAGGGCGCAGCCACCCAGTGCCCGCTGGGTTTTCGGAGTGTTTTGAGGTTCAGCTGCGGCTCCTGTTTGGGATGTTCTGCAGCAGAGACCACTGCGCCTCCAGCTCGCTTGCTGACTTGCAGCTCCTGACAATCGTAGCCCCCAGTCAGATGTTTCCAGGCCCCCAAAAACCCCAGAGCTGCCATCCCCAGCGACCCGCGCCAGTCTCCTACGACAAGCCGGACCTCTTCTTCAAAGGGCGGGATACCAGCGGGCTGACTCTCAGCTGAGCATAAGAAACTCATGTGGCCCACCCTCCTGAAGTTTAGGGTCTACATTGGGCTGTTTGGAGCCTGTCCTGGCTCTGCCACCAGGTCAACGGCCAATATTCGGTAGGGACAGCAGAAGTACCCATGAAAAGTTCGCTGCAAGCTTGGTGCTGTGCTTGCATGGTGAGATGCTTCACGGCCACTCCTGCTCGTGAGCTTGCCCCACATCACGGTGGGTACATGGTGGGTTGCCATGCATGCCTTGCATCCACAGGTACTCCGATGCCTTGTCTTGTGTCAGGGGGGGATCAGTTGCCAATGACTTGATCACGGTGCATCTGTTGCCTTACTGCCGGTGCAGAGCTGGCACAAGTCGACCACGACGCCCTTCTTGTTGTGGCTTGGCATGCGTGCCCTGTAGCTACTTCGATGCTTGCGATCTTGTGTTTCGCTACGGTGGTAGCCGACGATCCTTCGCCATGTGCATTGCTACAGCTTGACTTGTCAGTTCAATGATTTGATCACGGTGCATCTCTTGCCTGATTGCTGGTGCAGAGGAACCGCCAACATCCGTTACCCGTTATGAGAACTGAAGTGATCTCCCGTGGAGAAGCCTCCAACGTACTTCAACCGTGAATGGGAGCCTTGTGAATCAGGCCAGACCTTTTTTGTTGTGGCTTGGCATGCGTGCCCTGTAGCTACTTCGATGCCTGCGATCTTGTGTTTCGCTACGGTGGTAGCCGACGATCCTTCGCCATGTGCATTGCTACAGCTTGACTTGTCAGTTCAATGATTTGATCACGGTGCATCTCTTGCCTGATTGCTGGTGCAGAGGAACCGCCAACATCCGTTACCCGTTATGAGAACTGAAGTGATCTCCCGTGGAGAAGCCTCCAACGTACTTCAACCGTGAATGGGAGCCTTGTGAATCAGGCCAGACCTTTTTTGTTGTGGCTTGGCATGCGTTCCCTGTAGCTACTTCGATGCTTGCGATCTTGTGTTTCGCTACGGTGGTAGCCGATGATCCTTCGCCATGTGCATTGCTACAGCTTGACTTGTCAGTTCAATGATTTGATCACGGTGCATCTCTTGCCTGATTGCTGGTGCAGAGGAACCGCCAACATCCGTTACCCGTTATGAGAACTGAAGTGATCTCCCGTGGAGAAGCCTCCAACGTACTTCAACCGTGAATGGGAGCCTTGTGAATCAGGCCAGACCATCCAGACCCTTTTTGTTGTGGATGGGCATGCGTTCCCTGTAGCTACTTCGATGCTTGCGATCTTGTGTTTCGCTACGGTGGTAGCCGACGATCCTTGCCCATGTGCATTGCTACAGCTTGACTTGTCAGTTCAATGATTTGATCACGGTGCATCTCTTGCCTGATTGCTGGTGCAGAGGAACCGCCAACATCCGTTACCCGTGATGAGAACTTGAGCTTGATTTGAATCTTGTGTCACGAACTGGGTACAACGGATGGCCATGCAGGCAGATTGGTAATGTTCACAGTCTGCGCCAGATTGCTGGCGTGCCACTTCAGTTTTCCTTCAGTTTTCGATGAGTTCCCAAGGCATGGAGCCCTAAAAACCTGCCCTAAAAAACCCTAAACCCGAGACCCTAAACGCTAAAACCTAAACCCTAAGACCCTAAACCCTAAAAGCCCTAGCAGCTTCATGCGGCTTCGAGGCTTCGCAGGCCAGGGCCAGGCTTCTAAGCACCCCTCCGAGGATGGAAGGCACGCCGATTGCCGCCAGGCCGCCGGCTCACCGCGAGGAGGAGGACGCGCCCTAAACCCTAAATCCTAAACCCTAAACCCTAAGCCCTAAACCCTAAACCCTAAACCCTAAACCCTAAACCCGAAACCCTAAACCCTAAACCCTAAACCCTAAACTCTCTTGGGGGTCTTAAGGCTTTCTCGGTTCGGGTCGAAGGTTCCCTGAGATTACCAAATGTGGACGTTGTGAAGGCCCCTGAACCCCAAGGTAAAAGCACTTGGCTGTTTGGAACCAGGCTCTACGCAATTTTACAAGGGGTCTCTAAACAGAACCCTAAACCCTAAACCCTAAACCCTAAACCCTAAACCCTAAACCCTAAACCCTAAACCCCAAACCCCAAACCCCAAGCCCCAAGCCCCAAGCCCCAAACCCCAAGCCCCAAACCCCAAACTTGGAGCTTACCCCGCCACTTGCCGTGCAGGACACTTCAGACTTGAGGCTTGGTCGAGCCATGCCCGCCAAAAGCTCGGAAGAAGAGGTCTCCAGGTTTTAAGGGTTTAGGGCTGAGGGCTCAGGGTTTAGGGTTTGGGGTTTCGGGTTTAGGGTTTAGGGCTTAGGGTTCAGGGTTAGGGTTTAGGGCTTACGGCTCAGGGGGCTTGGGAAGGGTCTTTCGTGGGACTTGACTTGGGGTTTCTACGGCACCCGAACTTCAAGAAGGGAACCCCCCCAAGGGAAGTGCGGAGTAGAATGAGAGGGTGCACCCTTCACCGGAGTGTGGACTTCTAAAACCCTAAACCCTAAACCCAAAAGCCAAAACCCAAAAGCCCTAAACCTAAACCCAAAACCTTTTGCATCCGAGGTCAACACCATCAAGGCCGCGAACTTTGCGCACTTCAACGACCTGGCATTGCTTCACCTGGCCTGGGGCTTAACTTGCCGTGCTTCATGTTCTTTTGTCTATAACAGTGTAGTAGTATGTTCTCATATTCTTGCATTGTTATCTCATATTCTTATATGGTTAATGTTGATATTCTCATTCTTTCATATTACATTATGATCATATTGTGATTCCATTACATGATTCTACCTTTTTGGGTATATACATACATTTATGAGACTAGTCCATAAATATATGAGTAGATCGTTATATGAATGTTAGTAGGTTAGCGTATCATATTAGTATATTGCTATATTTGTATATTTTGTTTTTTCGTAAGGTTACTATTACATTTCTATGTCTTTATACCAGTGAAATATAATTTTTAGTTTATGTATTCATGTATTCTTGTGTGATGATACTGTTATATCAATATATGTTCATACTGTTATTTTGTTTATATTGTTCTATAGTATATTGCATTTTTCATATTTTCATAGTTAGCATTAGATGCCACTAGATTATTATAGTGTTATATTGCTCTATTGCTACATTAGCATGTTCTTATACCATGATATGATTGTATGATTCTATGATTGTATGATTTCTTACATGATGATATGATTGTATGACTGTATGACTGTAGGATTCTATGATTATGTTGTTTTTGTGTTATATTAACATAGTATTGCATTATTGTATTATTACATTCTTTTAGTATTATATTAGTATATAATTGGTATGATTCTGTGATTTGTATCATGATTGTAGTAATAAGCTATCATGCCATTACATCATTTCATTCACCATCATCCGAGCAGATCGGCCCGCTTGAAGCCGAGCCCGGTTACTGTACCTTTAGAGCTGCTTGCTGCCAGGCTTGTTGCTTCAAGCACTCGATCACGTTGAGGTGCTAAGACGACACTACCTGCCGATCAGCTGCCAGGAGACGCAGGCCCATCCAGAGCGAGAGGAATGCACATGTGGGTAGTTCTCTAAATAAGGGTCCCTGTTTGTGTCCCCTATATAGTACGGCACCCTTAGAAAAAAGGACCCCCGAAAGGGACCATGTAGAGGCATGCAGAGGCCATCCCAGGCAGCGAACCTGCTAGGAGTTCACCATGTCCATCACCTCCTTCTCGCGCTGCTTTTGTGAAGATGTTGTCCGGGGGCTCGGAGGCCGCAAAAGGAGACACCTTCGTGAGTTGTGGGCTGCCAAGGTGCAGTGTAGCCTCAAGTTCTTCTTCATCATGGATTGCCAGGCCCCGCGCCACCATGACTGGTGAAAGATACATAACGTAGCTGCTGACATGACCGAGAGAGTTCATCAGCGCCGTTGCTCGTTCTGCGTTCGCCAGGTGAACTTGCTGGTGCTATTCTCTTTGCTGGTGTCGATAGGGCAGGCGACATTGGCTTGACTACTCTCGGCCCGAAGTCTTTGCTGCTTGCATGATTAGCTTCACATGGGCATGACCTGGACATCCCCGTGCATGTTCAGATGTATTGTTAGCAAGTTTTGTGCATAGTGATGCGCCATCTAACACGAGCGCCATACTTGACCCCATCTAATGACAAATTTCTGAATGCCTTGTGACATTGTTTGGAGGCAGTTGGCTCTTGCTTCTATGCCAGCACCTCTGCGATGGATTTGAGGACACGGGTTCTGACCACTCGCTGGACACTTGATGATGCGCGCCGGCTTGGTGAGTTGACTGTGAACGCTTCATTTCAGTTCCGTCGACTGGTGACAGCGGTCAAGATCACCAGGGCTTGTCCCCAGTTTGATGCTACCAGTTGCAATGGGCTTGGAACTCCCAGGACATCGGAGGAGGTGAGCCCGAATGATTGAGCAGTTTGGCTGCTACAGCATCCAAGGACTTCTGTGGTAGGGCGAGCATCTTTGAAACTCGCTGGACAACACGCCGAGGCTGAAGTACAGCCATGTCTGCAATTTTCTTTTCAGTTTCACTTGCCTTTGTTTCGTTTCAGCTGCCTGCAGCATGTGGTCATGCAGATATGAACAAAACTGTATTGTTGCAGAGTTTGCATCACCATGCTCGCCGACAGCTGGCAGTGACTCTGGCCAGATGATGTGGCCGAGCGACTGCGATTCTGCCAAACTCGAAAGAGAGCAACATGTTCCGATTGGTTAAAAACTGCTGGATCGGCCCGGTGTATCCCCAAGCCCTAATTGCAGACACGTCCGATGTCGGTACAGTACTCTCTTGCATTTGCTGGTTGGTAAACAAGGCAAGATGAATCCGATTAAGCTTTCGGCTGTCTGCGAAGTTGAGAAGCATGGAGCTTCACACATGCCACCAGGCAAAGTACTTTAAGACTTCGAAGTGGACGACAGGAGTTGGCACCAGGAGATGCAGACAACAACTGCGGTTTTGGCGCATTGGGCTACTCAGGGATGTGCCTTTCCATTGAGAAACTTACATAATCGGTACAAAAAACCATCGTGAGCGGAGCCATGGCGGCCCCTTTCAGGTACTTGCTGCTCTTCACTGGATTTTCAGCTTGTGCTCAGTTTGATTCAGGTGCCTGGACCCTCCAGTCGGCTCTGTCTTTGCATCCGAAGTCTTATGCCTAAAAGAAATCCTGGGCCCCTCATGTGCCCACATACTATATCTCCACAACCCTCCGCCCCCCCCCCTGTCCCAACTTTTGTTCCAACTTCACGTGTCTTAGGCGCACTGGGCGGCTTTGTCGACTACCTTCGGAACGACCTCGGCTTCAGCACGCAGGACATCGGCCTTGTGAATGCCATGGCAGCTCGCCCTGGATTTCAAGGGGCGTGGGGGCAGAAGATGTTCAGAGATGCCCGGATGATCGTGCGATGCGCAGACCTGCTCCAATGTAGCGAAACCTGCGAGTCGCAGCCCTGACATACTGTTGGTTAGCATGGAAATAAGGGCCCTATATAATATATATATATATATATATACATATATATACCCTTTAAGGGATCATATAGGGTACCCCAGTCCCCCATTCCCTACTGACCAAGAGGAAGTGAAGCCAAGGAATATGTTCTACTTCCGCTCGCCTCGCCGCTGATCCCTTGCCTCTTCAAGTTCCTGAAGGTCAAGATTGTTCTCCTCCTATGTCTTGCACGGGGCTTAATTGAAAGTGGTTCACAAGCTAGAGAGTTCTCGAATAAGACATGGAGAGAAAGAGAGAGAGAAAGAGAGAGAGAGAAAGAGAGAGAGAGAGAGAGCGATGACGCCCGGGGGCTTCGGCCTCCACGCCCTCCGAAAGAAAGAAAGAAAGAGGGAGGAGAAGAAGAAGAAGAAAAAGAAGAAGGAGAAGAAGAAGAAGAAGAAGAAGAAGAAGAAGAAGAAGAAGAAGAAGAAGAAGAAGAAGAAGAAGAAGAAGAAGAGGAAGAAGAAGAAGAAGAAGAAGAGAAGAAGAAGAAGAAGAAGAAGAAGAAGAAGAAGAAGAAGAAGAAGAAGAAGAAGAAGAAGAAGAAGAAGAAGAAGAAGAAGAAGAAGAAGAAGAAGAAGAAGAAGAAGAAGAAGAAGAAGAAGAAGAAGAAGAAGAAGAATAAGAAGAAGAAGAAGAATAAGAAGAAGAAGAAGAAGAAGAGAGGGCCATCTATGGAGAGCGGATGCCGATGTTCCCTGAGGCTGGAAACATGCTCGGGGTTTGCGGCCTTGCCGCGGGGCCATGGATGCAGCAGTCTGGAGACTCCGCCTTCACGCTGTTCCTGGTCTCAAGGATCCTTGGTTCCACACTGTACCCCCCCCTCAGGTATCCTCAAATCCTTGCGCCACCAGGCTGCTGTGTTGCTTGCTGCGTTACTTTTGCTGCATCTTTTCAGGGTTTTGGGTTTTGGGTTTAGGGTTTCGGGTTTAGGCTGCCCCTCTCAGGGCCGTCTCGGGGATGTGCCACGCCGGAATCGCCGTCTACGGCAGCGTCTGGGTCGATCTTCATGCTCCAAAGGATCAGGCAGCTTCATGGCTGGGCGCCATGCAGGCCCCCCTTTGTTCTCCTCAGCTCTCTTCTAAGCATACCTGCCCCTAAACCCTAGACCCTAGACCCTAGACCCTAGACCCTAAACCCTAGACCCTAAACCGTAGAACCCTAAACCAACCTGAATGATTGGGACGCCGGCAACGTGCTCTCAGGCCAGCTCCTTGGTGGGCCTCGTCATCGGTTACATCATCGCAGGCGTGCGCACACGCATATGCTGTTTTGGGGTTAGGGTTTAGGTTTCATGCCCATGGTTCGCCCAAGCAGCACGAACTTTGTTTTAAGCAGTTGACTCACTCGTTGTATTGACTTTCTGATTTCTTTGTTCGCAGTGATGTGGCATGCAACCGATGCATGACACCACCATGAGTTCCACGTGCACGCAGCTTCGGCCAGTGGTGGGCCCCTGAAGGCTACTCCAAGGATTGGGTAGCTGTCTTCTGCTTGAACCTCCTGTGGTTCGCGGCAACGTTCTTGTGGTTGGCATGCGCTGCGCCAGAGCACATCGGCAACACCACCGCAGTCGCTGGCGGTCATCGAACAGAGTCGCGCGTACGGCTATCCTTTGTTTCTGTTCCCTCTGGAAGCTTTGTCAACCAGGCAGATTGGAGTGAAGAAGGCCCAGACGCCCAGACAGAGGATCCGGCAGCCCATCTAGTTGGCTCACGCTCTGAGACTGAGACTGGGGCACCAGTGGAGAATCTTCCGGTCTATGCTCTCATGGCCCTTTGCGTGTCCTCCCTGTTCTTTGTCTCTGGAGGATTGCAATTCTGGGCGACACCCTACATGGAACAGATCAGGCTCAAGGAGATCTCCCCATCAAGGTCTTGCACCGTCGATGTTCAGAAAGATATTCACAACCTCGTGGTCACTCTGGTAGCTGTGATCACGCTCACCGCCCCCACCTTCGGAGTGTTCCTCGGTGGCAGTGCAGTCGACAGCATCGGCGGCTACAGGGGCAAATCCGGGCGAAAGGCCCTGCAGCTGCTGGCAGGAGGCCGGGCCCGACTCCACCAGTGCGGTACATTCTAGGGCGTGGCAGCATGTGCCGCTGATTAATTCGGCGGGGGGGGGCCCAAAACAAAGACTCTAGATGACAGATGTGCTCGGCAGAATGCTCTCGGCGGAGAGTCGTCGCGCAGGTGCTGCCATGGCCATGGCATTCGGTGCCGTCGCCTGCTTCTCCACCAACTTCTGGCTGGCCGTGAGCTGCTTCTGGATCTTCAACATGTTGGGGGCTGCGCTGCTGCCCGGGGCCTTTGGCCTCATGCTCAGTGCGGTGAGGCCGCAGCGGACCTCCGCAGCCTCGGCCATCGCGCAGATCCCCATCAACCTGATTGGAATGGCAGGAGGACATGCGAAACATACCGCCGACACAAGAACAACGCTGTACAAGCTTCCCACGATGTCGGGATGTAGGTGGCTGGAGCTAGAGCCCGCAGTAGTTTCGTCAGACCAGTACGCGCCATTCCAGGACATCATGGCATGTTTATCACGCCAGGAGCGTACATTCCTGGCTGGCTGACGGGATGCAACACAGAAGAGCTGCCAAACGTGCGGATGTGCGATGCAGGCGGGTGAAGCTATGCTCAAAGGCAGCTGCAGATGCGATAAACCCTGAACCCGGAACCCTAAAGCAGGCCCTGCACCCCAAACCCTACACCCCAAACCCCAAACCCCAATCCTAGCCGATCCCCCCCCCCCCCCCCCCCCAAAAAAAAAAAGAAAGCCGCCAGCTTCCCAGATTGCGATTTCGCGCTCGGCCTCCGCTCGCTGTTGCTGGGCAGGGAGTCCCAGTGCCAGAAAGCCTCCCGCGGGTGTGGGGTAGGGTTTAAGTTTAAGGTTTAGGGTTTAGGGTTTAGGGCCCCCAATTGCCAGCAGGAACGCTGAAAGCCACATAGAGTTTTTGGGCGTCTAAGCAGGTCCTGTTTTCGGCTTCCTGGCCCTCATCCTTGCCCTCTGCCTCTACCGCGGCCCTTCCGAGCCGGCAGCAGATCGGCCACCCGGTGGCAGCGAGTGCGCGCTTGGGGTTCAAGTTCAGGATTGAGGGTTTGGTAGCGCATCCCTGCGCACCAGCCCACGTTGTTCTGAACAATAATCTTTTCGCACGTGCCAGGTTTCGTTTGGCGTGCCAGTAGGGCATAGGCGCCCCTAGCGAATTCTTGTGAATCGTTCGTGCTGTCGCTGGAGGTGGGAGCTCTGCTTTCCTTTCCCCTATCATCCCCTATCCGAAACCCCATCCCGGATAGGTCTGCGCTCCAGTTCGGAAGCCTGAAACGCGAAGAAACCCAATGCTCTGCCTGGGAACCAGAGGGATTGACAAGTCAATCCATCAACGACGACATGGTGCAAGCATGCTTTGCTAACGTCCCGTCGCCTGAAGCTGCCAGGACCGAAAACCAAGAGCTTAGCATTCGACCTCCGACGCGTCGCCGCTTGGCTGCGCTTACTTGCAGTATGGGCACCCACGCGCCTGCTCACATGGCACTTTTTTGATGTGGGTGGAACCGGGTGGAGCAGGTTTTGCTCTTTAATGGCAGACCTGGCATGAGGGGTTTGCCAAAGCTGAAATATTTGGCTGTAGCTACCGATGCCACTTCGAAACACACGAGCACAACTTACGACCGCTGCTCACTCAAAGCATAGATCAGTTTACCCACGTACACCTTTCCCTCGGTTCTTGTTCTTTGCTGCTAGAGTATCACAATACAAGAATATAAAAACAGAAATATTCTGGTATAATAGTACACGAATACAATGATTTTCTAATCGAAAAGTACAAGAATAGAATGCTCAAACCATGGCCTGGCGCGCCGGCCTGGCGGCTTTGGCCGGCTCCACTTCTGGGTGGCTGTCGAGGCAGCCACATCTTTTTTGGAGCGATGTAGCACGATGGAAGATACGGCAGACATCTCGCACGCAGTAGAGCCGGTAAGACCGATGAATGCCGTGGCTTGATTGGCAGGCGAAGACAGCCGCAGCATGAATCTCGCGGCGCGACGAACGTGATGGTGTGCAGCACTGGCTCCTGGAAGCTTGCATGGTCATGGAGTGAACTTACGACGGGCCTGCTGGAAAGCACGTGAGTTTGCTAGCAGGAAGCCGCGAGAAGCCAACGCGTGGATATTTTTCGGGCTCAGGACCAGCAACTTGCTCTTCGTTCCACCTTCCGGCTTCTGGGCCGATGATGATTGGTATGACTTGCAGATGGCACGGCGCCTGCCGCTTTGCCAAGACTGCTTGCGCACCTTGGCTGAACTCTTGCCCCAGCTATGAAAGCAGCACGCTGACTTCTTGGAGCTGCTTTTCCATTCAAAGCCTCCCCAAAGGTGAGTTTGTGTATGCCCTGCCGCCTCTCTCTGGCAAGCGTGTGGTGGACGTCGGGGCCGGAACTGGACGCTCTGCAGCAGCAGTCGCTGCTGCGTATCCGCGCGCCCACCTTACGCTGATCGATCCCGACGAGGCCCTCCAAAAAAGACAGCTGCCAAGGGCGACGAATGCACACAGTCGGAGCCATAACGACTGCTTCCCCTCCCCCAGATATCACTTGTGATGGTCTCGTAGTACTTCGGGAGTGTGTGTTTTTTTCCGACTGCAGGGCCGCCTCCGAACAGCTTTGGTCAAGCTGAAGCGTAGCTGGGAGTCTTCCACGGCGCCCCTCCAGGAGGCGCTTGCAGGGTTTTTTTGGGGGGGCCTTGCAGTGTTGAGAGCATGGTGTTGGGGCCTTGAGCTTGAGAGCTGAGGGGCTTGCAGGGCTACGTGGAAACCCTAAACCCTAAACCCTAAACCCTAAACCCTAAACCCTAAACCCTAAACCCTAAAAAACCCTAAAAAACCCTAAAAACCCTAAAAAACCCTAAAAAACCCTAAAAAACCCTAAACCCTAAACCCTAAACCCCAAACCCTAAACCCTAAACCCAACGGCAGCCTCGAGCTGAGCTTATGGCGAGCTGCAGGCACCGGAGCCAACCTTGATTGCGGCGGCGCTGGGCAGCCAGCAGACGCCGCTGCCGGGGTGTGGAGGCCGGGAAGACTGAAAGAGACCAACCCTAAGCCCTAAACCCCAAAACTCCCCAAAAATCTTAAAACCTGAAGCCGCAAAAACCCTAAAATCCTAAAACCCTAAAACCTTAAGACCCTAAACGCTTGTAAGCCACCAACCTTCATCTACAATGAAATGCCAAGCCATCTCAGGCCCCAATCCTCCGCCCTCTTTTCTCTTAGAACCCTGAAGCCCCGAAACCCCGAAGCCCCGAAACCCTGAAACCGTGAAATCTGAAACCCTGAAACCCTAAAACCCTAAACCCTAAAACCCTCAACCCTCAACCCTCAACCCTCAACCCTACACCCCTAAACCCTAAAGCTGCGGAGGTGGATACGACTGTGTGCTGGCCCTGCAAGCGGTGCGGCACATCGTCGCGCCGCCGGCCCACTACGCCCGGAAGCACGGGCTTGCTGTGACAGGCTTAGGGTGTTAGGTCTAGGGTTGTTTTAGGTAGGGTCTTTGTTAGGTAGGGTGTTTTAAGTAGGGTGTTAGGTGGGGTTTTAAGTAGGGTGTTTTAAGTGGGGTTAGTAGGTTTGAGTAGGGTTTCGACTCAGGGCTTGTGTTTCATGCAGGGATCAGATTGCAGTTGGGCCCTGAAGACTCAAAGCCGTGAGCCCAGAGTGCCCTGACCCCCTGGCAGAGGGCCGGCGCAGATCCGCGAAGGCTATGCCAAGCTGTTCAAGGGGCTGCTCTTGAGTTTGGTGCCCGGCGGCCATGTCTTTCTTGGCGACCACGTCGTGCACGGACACCCCGGAGTCTACGAGCACTGCAGGCTCTTGCCTCTCCTTGAGATGCTTCTATGATGTTGCAGTAGTTTGAAGTCAGAACCTGCAATGTGCTTGCATCACAGAGTCTGTTCGATGCTACGGCAGGAGTGAAGAAGGAACCGATGAAACAGAATCGTCATGACAAGCCGGTGTCGCCCCACCACCCAGCAGGCTCCTGGAAGAAGCTGGATTCGTCGACATTGACATAGCATGGAGGCAGAATGACTGGTTCGTCATTGGCGCTCGGCGTCCAGTGAGCCCAGTGCAGGGCTGACCCCGTTTGGCTCAGCTTCGACTGGAAACATCATGTAGGGGCGGGCAAAAAGGTGCTCAAGCAGTACTGCCAAGAATATGCGCTGTGCGGCAGGGGCTTGGTGTCTCAGCAAAACATCACATGTTGAACTTGGGCCAGAATGAGGTGGCACGGGCGTGAACACAGTCGTCCTTGGCATCATCGATCAGCTTGATGGCAGCGTGGCTGGCACTTCCCGCTTTTGTAAGTGATCGTACATGCACGATCGCAGCCATGCATTGTCGTAGCCTTCTTGTCCAGCTGTAGTGGAGTGCTGCTGCATGATGCTTCCCTGGCTGAAGGCAAAGCCGGTACTATGGTGTTGCGTTTGGATGAGGCAGCACGGCATAGTCGCGGTGTCTACTGTTGGTTGTCCTTCGCGTAACTAGCTGCTAACTGCTGCTCATCATTTTTTGTGGTCGAGGAGATCTCGCTTGCCAAGCTGCTCGCTCGGGCAGCCGTGGCTTGGCTGTTCCTAGCTGTTGTTGGATGCATATGGCACCTGCGTTGTTCTACCAGGAATGCACGGGCAATCCGACTCGTCGACTCTTCTCGGAGGAGTGATGTGGGGGCGCTTTTTTGCTTGTCTTGTTCTGGCTCTCTCACTTGTCAGGACGGTCAGGAGATCCTCAGTGTGAACGATGTGCAGAAGACCTACGAGAAGATCTTGCAGGAAGGTGGCGAGAAGAAGGCCCGCTATGAAACTGTGAAACTGTCACCTCAGATGACGGTTGTGCTTCAGGAGTTCGTAGAGTTCTTCAGTGATACCCACACTTCCCCGTATGGAGAGTGAGAGGCTAAGCCGAGCTCTGACAATCCAGCGCTCTCCATTGACCTTGAGTTGGTCAGCACGGATGGCAGCAACTTCAAGTGGAAGCCTCTTGGTGTGATCGTGGGGGGGGGGGGGGGGGGCATATGCCGCTGGGGCGTGGGTGTGCGTGGAGCATCCCTCATGTTACGACCCCCCCATGCATGCCTTTAGCCTTGAGTAGCTACCGTACCGTGCAAGACATGTGGGCTGAGCTAGAGGTTCTTCTTTGATGAGTTGCTCAGGGTTTGATGAGGGAGATATGGGGTCATTTTCGGAAGAGGCACGTGATCAACCATGTGAGGTGGGGCAGCAACCACGCGCACTACCAATTCGGAGATCTTCTTATACGCCGCTCGTCAGGCTGTGGAGAACTTCTGGTGCCAGTTCAAGGTTTAGGTTTTTTCATCCCTAACTTCATTGCTTCTTGCTTCAGAGTTCACGTGCCCCAAGCCTCTGAATCTCAATAACATAGCCTTTGAGTCTCAATAACATACTCCTCCAATGTTGAAAAACAACCAAAACAGCCCCGACGTATGATGCGGAGCCCTTGCGCTGAGGGATCATGGAAGTGTAGCTGCGATTGCAAAACGTCAGCCCAAAATGCAATGAGTTGCACGGCTTTACACAAAAATCTCGCGCAAGGAATGACGCAGGTCAGTTTACATGATTCGACTCTCACCCTGTGTGCCTTTTAGAATAATAATGATAATGCTAATTATAATAGTAATAACAATACAAAAAACAAGAGTAATAATCATTAGTATTTCTTTGTATTTCTGACCCCCGCCTCGTCGAATTCCGACTTCTCCGGCACCCAGGCCCCCTGTGGCGCAGCTTGGCCGGCTCGCGTGGCGTGAGGTGGAAGCAGCCTTGAACCCTCCTACACCCTAAACCCCAAACCCCAAACCCAAAACCCCAAACCCAAAACCCTAAACCCCAAACCCTAAACCCTAAACCCAAAACCTTGAACCCAACGATTCGGGGTGTAGGATGGTTTCTAGTTGGAGGTGTTGGAGGCTCAGTTTGGGGTTCAGGGTGAACTTTTTTGGGGTTTCCCCCTAAACCCTAAACCCTAAACCCTAAACCCTAAACCCTAAACCCTAAACCCTAAACCCTAAACCCTAAACCCTAAACCCTAAACCTTGTCATGCCTTGGCCTGGCCTGCAGGGCGGTGGTGCATCCTCCACAACCGCGGCTCGCCTGCGGGAGGGTTCTGTTTTCGGGTTGCCGCACATGGGGTTTAGGGTTTAGGGTTTGGGGTTTAGGGTTTAGGGTTGAGGGTTTAGGGTTTGGGGAGTGTTGGGTGCCTGTCGCCCGTCCCGTTCATGTAATTGTGGGTGGGCAGGTGTCTTGAAGCATATGGGTGCGGGTGTGGGGTGATGAGAGGTCGGACCCCGTGCACCTTGAATTCCTTTTTCTAATGCCAGAGCTCCTAGTGCCAGAGCTGTACAAGCAGCCACATCTCCTGGTTTTCGCATGGCCCACTGCGATAAGGCTTGCTCTGCCATCATCGGGCAATCTCCACAACTGCACCTGGGTCGCACAAGTCTGTCGAATGATCTCCCTAAACCAGCATAAATCTTAAACCCTAAAACCTAAACCCTGAACCCTGAACCCTAAACCCTGAACCCTGAACCCTAAACCCTAAAACCGAAACCCTCTTAAGCCTTTGCCAGGCCTGCCAGACTTATGGATTCAATGCTTCCCGCTCTGCGAAAGGCCGGGGTGTTAGCCGCAGGGGCGCTTCAATGGGGCCACCTTTTCTTCTTCTGCATGTTTTCCATGCGACGAGGTATGGGCCTCTGGTCAAGCTACGCATATTCGACGACGTGGTCTACGACCCATGTCTGCAAAATGCTGGGGAGCACTCTGGCGAATGAGCATCGCGGGCTTGTGCCGCATTCCAGCCTTACCCAACGTAGTCTGATTCCAGATCGTCGCCGACCCAGAGATTGTTGATATTGTGAACCAGATCCCAGACAAGCGCTTACCTCGGGAGGCTCCTTGGCGAGAAAGAGAGTTTGCATGGGGGTTTCCGACATTACTGTCGGGGTACCGTTATTGGGGTCCTTATCACTCAGGGGGTCCTACTATTTCGGAAACCCCCCACATGTCTAGGCGAGTGATTGCAGGGGTTGGCGGCCCGTAAACCCTAAACCCTAAAACCTTAACCCTAAACGCTAAACCCTAAACCCTAAACCCTAAACCCTAAACCCTAAACCCTAAACCGTTCGAGGTCTTCGGCTGCCCCGCGCTTGCAGGGCAGGGCGTCTTCATCGCCGACGGCCAGCGCTGGGAGCTCCTGGCCTTAAGCTGACCCTAAGCCCTAAACCCTAAACCCTAAACCCTGAACCCTGAACCCTGAACCCTACACCCTAAACCCTAAACCCTAAGCCCTAAACCCTAAACCCTAAACCCTAAACCCTAAACCCTAAACCCTAAACCCTAAACCCTAAACCCTAAACCCTAAACCCTAAACCCTAAACCCTAAACCCTAAACCTCCCTAAGCCCAAGCCATAAGAGCTTGGCAGCTTGGGCTGAGTCAGATCTTAGCTGAGGTTCGCTCGCCATGCTTTCCAGGCAAGACGCATCACAAGCAGCGCTGTGTAGTGGAGTGGGTCCCAGTCCAGCTGCTGTATTGTATTATGCTAGATCATATTGTGGTATGTTATGTTACATTATATTGTGTCATATTGTACTTTATTATGTATGATTATGCAAAAACAATCATTTAGCCGCCAATGCGAGCAAGCAACATGTGTTATGCGCCAGTGCTTGTGCTTGTCGTTCGGTGGGTAGACCTTTCAAAGGTTCCTTAGACCTAGATCTAAACGCCTCAGGCCTCCGGCCTCAGCGGATTCTGTTATAGTGCCAGCAAAGCAACTGGCCAGCATTCCGTCTATGGCTGGCTCGGGACCTTGTGTGCCAGGCACAGCTGACGCCAGAGGCAATTGACAACCTGGTGCCGATCTTTGCTCAGCGCGCCGCCAAGCTCCAGGCGGAGACAAGAGGAGTTTAGGGTGTAGGGTTTTTGCCCGCCATTGCCCTGTAGGACGTGCTGGCCCAATCCACATCCAACATCGATATCTTTGCACCTTGGCCCCACATTGATTCGCGTCGTGTTTCGTTGCCCAGATTGTTGCTGCATGTCTGTGGCTTAGAACTGGGTCGAGCGGGTGACCATGGACACCATCTGCGATGTTGGCTTTGGGCACGATCTCAAGTGTATGGACTCTGCCGACACTTGACCACCCAAGCAGTTTTATTTGGCTTTTGTGGCTGCCAAGCCAGCATCCTCGTGAGGAAAGGCGAAGAGTCTGCAGGGCAGTAGCCACCTTGGAACCCCCCTGACCTCTATGTCCCCTGTCAGTCCGAGGAGATGCCCCCTCTTCTGCCACTCTTCGAGGAAGTTCTCGAAGTCAGCCCACGCCTCACCGTGCTTCTGTCTCAAACCATTTCAGAGACTCCTCCATGCTTTCTGCGAGGCATCAACTCCAGCCTTTATGGTGCATTTGCAGCTTGCCTGCAGCCTGTTTTCGGGAGCAATTTTTGGGGCAATCCGCGTTTAGTGAGGGCCTTTTGTTTTCATCAATGTTTCAAGCAGATTCTGAGGACATCATGGGATCGCAGGCGCGCTGGTTCAAGAGGCGGGTCAAGGAGACAAGTCATGCAACTTTGCCCCATTTCTTGCGCCACCCCTGTCTCCTGCGCAGTCAACTTGACAAGCTGAATGGTATGCTTGACGAGATCATCACAGCCTGCAGGTCGGGACCGACCCCCAACCAAACCCTCAACTTGCCCTCTTCATCTTGCCCCAGCAACCCACTCCATCCACCCCCCGGCCCCGCATACGCCGCTCTCTCCGCAGGGAAGGGCGGAGCACGGGTTCCTCGAACAGCCTGCCCGAGCCTTTGGGGTGAGACGTTCGCTGTGAGGACCCTCAAGATCCTTGCACGCAAAGTCTCTAGAGCCCTACAGTAAGCCTCAGAGTTCAGAGCACTTTGAGGCTCCACGCCCTCATTGCTGCCAAGTGCCCGCTGACCGGTCGCAGCTTCACGCAGTCGGAGCTCCAGGATCAGCTCCTGACAATGCTCCTCGGCCCTTAGGACATGCTATCTTGTTGGCTCTAGAGCCGCACAAATCCGTACAAAGGCTCCAGGAGGGTTTCGGGCTCAAGTCCTTCAGGCTGGTTGCTGGACACAAGACGACGACCTTGCTGCTGACCTGGTCTCTCTACTACATCGGCCGCAGCCCGCAAGTGGAGAAGAAGCTATGCTCCACATGGCCTTAAATTCGGCTTCAGGTGTGAAGCTTGATGAGTGCACGCTGGTTCGCACTTCTCCTGTGCCGAGGAAGCTCTTCTCGGAGCTGCGCCAAGTCTTCGGCGGGGACATGGAGCGAGCACCCACTGGGGAAGATTTGAGGTTCCTTGCTCTGCCCACGGATGAAGTATGAAGCGCCAGTTTTGCTCCGTCAGGCGCTTGAAGTACATGGACATGGTCGTGCGGGAGACGCTACGCTTGTGCGCACCCGTGCAGGCGGCACGGGTGTGCGGTGTTCCCATTCAAGGACCTAAATCGAAAAGAACGTGATGGGTCAGCGTCTGTTGAATCGGACAACCTGCCGAGCAAAACTGTACCTTGTAACTGCAGGAGAGTTGCATAGGACTTCATCGAGTCCTGCAGTTGCCTGCCCTGGGGAGAGAGGTGGCGCAGCGGGGCCTGACGCAGCCGGTGGAGTGCGGGAAGTACACGCTGCTGCCTGGTGGCCACAGTGGCCGAGGCCCGCACGCTTAGGCACCGCACGGCACCGCACGGCACCGCATGGCGCGAAAGCAGGAGGCACGTCAAAGCATGTCGGTGTGGGGGCGGTGCGTCAGAAAGCTACAGCTACGCTCGAGATTGGGAATTTGTGGATATGGGGACTAGATTTAGATTGGCCCGACACATCCAGCACCATTGAGGGGGCCAACATCAACAGTGGCATGCTGAAGTATTCTTGGACAATTTAGCATTGGGGGGGGGGGCCTGGGCTAATCAGCATTCAGCAGTGCATGGCACATACAATACAAAAGTGTATAGGCTGCATAGGGCTTTGAGACTCGTGTGACAGGCAACTCGTGGGTTGCCGGACCCTCAGCTGACGCTGTTGCTCGGTTTCGGAACGCAAAACGAGCCCTTGTTGCAGGCCATTCACATCATGGGCATCTCTCTGAGCCACTTGGCACAGACTACACAATGGCACGAGGCCAAAGGTGTGGTGGCCCCAAGCTCAGGTAAGAAGTACTGGGGAAGCGATGCCATGGAATTTATCCCTGAGCGCTTCGAGCCGGCACCATCCTGAAGGGACCTCGCAGCGCGACGCGGAGAGTTGTTTTTGGGAAGGCCCTTGGCTCGCTCAGGAGAAGCTGGCAAAGTTTCATCCCTTCCAGTTCATGCCCTTTGGTGGTGGAAGGCGGTTGTGCATAGGCGGGCTCCACATCTGCGTGGAGAGACGTCATTATAGGATAGAGAGGGCAGCTTAAGCAAGGCAACCTGTTCGCGATCATTCAAGCCAAGACCCTGCTGAGCATCACTCTGCGGAGCCTTGAATGAAGTAGCTTTGAAGCGAAGTTGCTGTGCATGCACTGCATGGCTTTCCAAACAAGAAGTGAGTAGTTGAAAGCTCAGGAAGTTTTACGTGCGTATTGCACCGGACAAGCCAGTGCTCTGGCCGGCAGTTGCTTCCAGCTTTGCCTGTGGCGGCATCCAGACTGCTCTTACGCCCGCTCAGGTGAAGATTGACCCCAAGGACCTCGCGACACCTCTGCCGGCCAGCAGGCAGATGTTCTTTTCTTTAGCGACCCCAAAACCCAAATCCCTAGACCCTAGATCCTAGACCCTATTTAAAACCTAAACACTAAACCTTAAACCCTCAACCCTAAACCCAAGACCCTAAACCCTAAACCCTAAACCCTAAACCCTAAACCCTAAACCCTAAACCCTAAACCCTAAACCCGAGATTGTCGATTCAAGCCCCTCGCTGCCCAGGGGGGGCGGCGTATGGCTGAACTTCACAAGCAGAGACTACGACGAGCCGGCCGCCCCGGAGCCCGGCACAGCTCCAGGTGCCCCCTTGGTCTGCTTCTTGGGATTTAGGGTTTAGGGTTGGGTTTTGGGTTTAGGGTTTAGGGTTGAGGGTTGAGGGTTGAGGGTTGAGGGTTTAGGGTTGAGGGGATGGTTTTTCCTTGGTTTTTTGGCAGGTGCCCTGTACGAGTCCTTCCTGAATGACGCGACGGCGCAGTCCTTTGCAGGGACTTCCTTCAAGAGGAGCCCCAACCTCAGCTTTGAGCGGTTTGATCGCAAGCCTAAATTCGTCCACCAAACCTGCCCAGACCCAAACCCAAACCGCCTAAACGTCTCCAAAACCCCAAGCCCTACACCCCAAACCCTCAACCCTAACGGGGGTTATGGGGTTTGGAATTATCAGTGAGCAGGGATGTCGGGTCAAGAGGGAACCGGAATCAGCCGAACAACTTTCGATAAAGGCCACGCGCGAGGGTCATAGCGCCCTCCAATCCATGTGTAGCTATATTCGCTCCTTATACATCATCCATTGTGTCTCTCGAACCCCAAAAACTACCTAAAACCCTAAATTTTCAAACCCTAAAACACTAAAAGCCTACAACCCTCCAAAACCCTCCAAAACCCTCCAAAACCCTCCATACCCTCCATAAACCCTGAACCCTAAACCCTGAACCCTAAACCCGAAACCCTAGACCCGAAACCCTGGTTCCAACCTTAGAAATGCCGAAGCCTCAGAGGCCTCAAGCCCACGGGCGGCAGCTTCTTCACCGGCCCGCGGCCGTCGCTGCTGGTCTTGCCCCTTTGGCGAAAGGTTTTGGGGTTTTAGGGCTTATAGGGCACAGGGCATAGGGTTCAGGGTTCGGGGTTTGGGGTCTAGGGTTTGGGGTTTAGGTGTGTGGGGTTGAGGGAAAAGGGTATGGGGTTTAGGTTTCGGTTTCAGGTTTCAGGGCATCGGGCTCGGTTATAGGCGGTTGAGGGGTTTAGGGCACCGGTTCCCTAAAGCCTGACTTCCTAAACCCTTCGAGTTTTTTTTCGGGTGGGGGGTTGAGGATGTTTGGGGGTTTGGGGTTTGAAAATTCCAGAGTTGGACTAGGGTTTGGGGTTCAGGAGGCTCCCGTGAGAACCCATGAACCCTAAACCCTAAACCCTAAAAGGTGGGGCGGGGAGTTCGGCACGACGCTCGGCGCCGCGCAAGACTTCGCCTCCGCGGCGGAGCAGCGCGACTTCCCGGTCCAGCTGAAGGCTCTCGACGAGGTGCGCCTCCCAAACCCTATAAACCCATTTCCCATGAAGCCCCCCCTAAACCCTGAACCCCTGAACCCTAAATCCTGAACCCTGAACCCTACACCCTACACCCTAAACCCTAAAACCCTAAACCCATGAAACCCTACACCTTGAATCCCAAAAACGCGAAGCCCCAAAGCACGCAACGCCAGAACTGCAGCCAGTAGGTGAAGCCCTCGGCCTTGCTGGCTGGAGAAGTCAAGTCCGATTCCGGGGAGCTGCCGGTGGTCCTGATCGTGGTGGCCACGCCTCTCGGTTGCCGGAGTTGTGGTTTGCTATGGTTTGCTTGGAAGATGCTGCGCACGCGCGCTCCAAGGTACAACGGCCACCCGCCGCCGTGTCTCGGCGCGAAGTGCCGAAACGAGTGCTTCGAAAGGGGAAAGGATCGGAAAGGCCTCAGCCCGGCTGCTTTCTTGGCTTGTTGGAGCACCGAGCGATGTGGTGGCACCCGCAAAGTATGGGGAATCCTGAAGCCGAGAAAGGAAGCTCAAGAAAAGCAATATTGAAGTGTCTGAGGAATGCTGCGAGCTTCCTGAAAGAGTTGGCGGAGGTCCCGGCGGCTGAGGAGGGTGGCTCGGTCCACATGTGGAGAGCTGGGTTTCACGCAATTATCTGATTCATTCTGTTGGCAATTTGCAGTAACTTGGACAACCCACAGTGTCGCTGTTCCCGTAGGCTTGTAGACTCCGCTCGACTTTCTGTGCCTGAGGATCGAACGAGCTCACCTTCGCAGTGCTTGGCGTTGCTCGAGGGCATTTTGGCGAGAGCGCTTCAGTGGTGCGAGAGCTCTCCGTGTTGTTGATCTCCTGACAGGTTGGGAACTCCAATTGGGTGTCGACCTTCGTGAAGGCGAGGTATCCCCTCCCTTGCCTCCCTTGCCTCCCTTGCCTCCCTTGCCTCCCTTGCCTCCCTTGCCTCTCCCTGGCCTCCCCCAGGCGGCAAAAGATGTGGAGAGGCTGCTCATCCGAGCTGGCGCCAACAGGCTGCTTCCCTTGGAGGCTTGCCTCCCGAACCCGAGAAGCGGGGGTGGGGGGGTTCATGCTGGGTTGGCTCTGACTGCTGTCATCCCCAAATGTGGAAGAAAGGCTGCGGACAAGAACGATTGCTTCGAGCGGCAACTGCGCACCTGGCGGAAGGCACCGACACTTGCGGGACTTCCAGTGGCTTCCGGTAGGATGCTGAGCCCAGCTCCCAGCTGCTCCCTGGGCCCAGGTCATCTTCACCCACTTTGCAAGCTCACCCGCGGAGCTTGTGAAGGAAGCCGAGGGGGAGACCCATGCCGAGGCCTGGGGCATTTGCCTTATCACAGCTTTGACTTAAAACAATTCTGGGGCATATCTATAAACGGGTGACCATCACAGCTTATGACTTAAAACAACTCTGGGGCATGTCTATAAACGGATGACCTACTTCAAAGGGGACCCTAATTTCAGAACAAGCCTTGGCAGGAAATGGCCGAGCAAATCCAGCTGGAGCCCTTCACAGGATCTCCCACCACGTCGCTTCAGGCCAACTTCGTTGAAAGGTCCCGGGCTTGGAGTTGCCACGACATGCCGTAGGCTTGCCTGCCTGAAGCAGCGGAGGCTTGGATACCAGAATTGCACGGTGAGCCTCAACGAGGTGGCTGCACGCCCCCATGCGCCTCCTTGGTCCCCGAAGTAGTCCGAAACATCGCAGGGGGGGGTCCCTCACCACCCTTCGAGAGCTCCTCTTTTTCCAGGAGCTCTGCGTACAAAGCGACGCCAGCAGCCCCTCGGTGCGGCAGATCGTCATTGACCGACCTGGTGGCTGTGCCTACGCCTGCGGCGACCACCTGGAAGTGCGGCCAAGGACGGTGGTAAGTCGGAGTTTTTTTCAGCCTCAACTCGCCAAACAACAGCAGGAATGGCAGCCAAGACTTAGGAACCCATGCCTCTGACTTCTGACACCAGATGCGCAACGCAGGAATCTGGAAGCGCAAGTCGGAGCCTCGGACGCTGGATGTAGGTGCTGCTCGAAACCTGCGTCGAGCCCTTGCGGCCCTCGGACCTCGGAAGTCTGAGGTTCTGCGCTGCTGTCACCGTCTTGGGGTTCAGCCAGATGCCGTGGTTGTCGTGCAGGGCGACAAGGTCGATGACGAGCTTCCCAGCGGAGCCTCGATCAGAGGTGTGTCCCACCTAGCCGCCCTAGCCATGTCGAAGGTCAGAGGCAACTCACACGTGGCACAGCACAGCACTGCACAGCCGCTGCACTGAGGGCAGCCCATCACAGTGGGTGATGTACTGTCCTTCTACGTGGACCTCTCGGCGCTTCCATCCCAGGAGGCTCTGGCGTCGCTGGTCCCTCATGTGACGAGCGCCAGCGAGGTGAGGGGGGGCGGTTGGACGACAGTGAACTGTGGAGTAGAACTGCAGAGAGTAAAGTTTGGTTCTATGCTCGCATAACTTAGAATCTTAGATGTTTTTCGTACGAGTCTTCAGCTGGTATTGGAGGCGGCCAAGCTTAAGCTGCTGACGGTGATGAAAGAGGACTCCGAATATGAGCGCTGGTGCAAGCGCTGCCTCTCCATCCTCGACATCCTTGAAGAGTTCGGCTCGATTCAGGTGAGCGTGGGTAGGTTTGTCGAGGTAGCTCCGAAGATGCAAGCTCGACTGTATTCGATCGCGTCATCTCCGCTGGCACGCGGGAGCAACGTGGAGCTGTGTTGTCGTGTGGCAACGTACACCGCCTCGCCGGTAAACGGTCGGGAAGTCACTCGCAAGGGCGTTTGCTCGTCGATGCTGGCAGCCGCCAAGTCTGTGATTTGTAAGATCAAAGAAGCGCCTCACATGCGACTCCCCGAGGACCCCAGCAAGCCCATTGCCTGCATTTGCGGAGGTACTGGAGTTGCTCCCTTCTTGGGATTTTTACAGGAGAGGGCGGCGTGCAAGAAGAAGGGTATGCAGACAGGGCTGGTGCACTTGTACTTTGGATGCCGAAACGATACAGACTTCTTGCACAAGTCCCAGCTTCAAGAGTGGCAGCGAGAAGGGCTCTGTTTGCTGAAAGTGTCGCTCTCGCGGCCGACAGACGGAAGCGCCAAAGAGTACGTGTATCATGCGCTTCGACGGGATTCTGCAGATATTCTGAATTTGCTTGGGGATGGCGATGGGGCCGGGTACTTTTACATCTGCGGGTCTGCCTCGACTTTGGCGAAGGACGTCACGAACGTTTTAGTCGACATGCTGAGCAGCTCGCTTCGGAAGATGCCTCTGTAATATGAACTAATACAGGTATGCCTTGGTATCTCCTAGGCTATTCAGAATCTTCGAGGAAATAGGGTCGAAGGACATGTGCTTGGGGGTTTTTACGCCTCGTCCGGGACTAGTGGCCACGAAAGCGCAGAGGCAAGGCCGCCGCTTGCAGGAAGGCCAGCGCTTAGGAGGGTAGGCGAGCGGAGGCAGTGGAGGGATGTGGTAGGGTAGGGAATGGATAAGGGAGGTGGTGAGGAAGGGAGAGGGGCTAAGCAGGATTGCCTCACATGGTCAAAAGGGTCGCCATGCGTTTATGCCCTTAGGCTCAGAGTTAGCTGTTGTTCACGGTGCGAGACTTCGAAGACTTGGGAACTCAAGTGATGCAGGACATTCAACCCAGCCCTCCCCCCAAACTCCCCATCTTTCTGACAGGCACCTAAACCCTTCCGAATCCTTCCCGAAACCTTCCGAGAACCGTCCGAAAAGCTGTCCAACACATCATTGCCCCCACCTGGGGGTATGTACGGTACAGGCAGTGCCTGGTAAAGCGTAAACAAATTAGAGAAGGCTGTTTGAGGGCGAGGCTAGGGGGAGGGGGGTAGGGGGGGGGGTAGGGAGACAGGGCCCACACACCCACTTGCGCACATCCTTGCGCACATCCTTGCGCTCGAATTCCGAGGTCAAAGTGGAGATGCATCGCAGGGCTTCACGATGCTCACAGAGCTCCAAGAGAAGGGCCGTGTCATTTTTGATGTTTGGGGCTGAAGAGCCCCTGCTATCCTCACAGCCTACGGCAATCAACCGTAGGTTTCAGGGAGGCGTTGGCGCCCCGCTTGCAAAGCATGAATTTGGATGTGTTGGCATATCGATTGTGGCTCTCCAAAACGCATATACTAAACTGAATGTATACATATCAAGAGATATGCACAGAAATATGTATAAGATGCAAAACATGTTTGTGAATCACCATAAATTTGGCAAATGAACAAAAGTGTGTGCATATGTGTGTGTGTGTATATATATATATATATATATGTGCTCACCCCCCTCCTACGACAGACCCCGGAAGCGAAACAAAGGTATTAATAATGATAATATATATATATATATATATATATTCATATATCACAGAATGACATGACATGACATGACATGATATAGTTTTGCTATGACATGATACACCATTACATAATTAGGTAGCCAAAGATAGAGAAGACGTAATAAGGAAGGAAGCAAGTAAATAGACATAAGTATATGTATGCATCTAAATATAGATGCCTAAATCATACAAATAAAAAACAAATGAACGAATAACAAATAGATGGATACACACACATATATATATATATATATATATATTATACACGCATAAGTATACATATGCATATATGTATCTGTATGTAAGTAAGAATATAGTTCTATATATGTATGTATCTGCATATGCATATGCATATGCATATGTATATGTATATGTATATGTATATGTATATGTATATGTATATGCATATGTATATGTATATGTATATACATATGTATATGTATATGTATATACATATAAAAGTAAATAAATAACTATATATGTACATATGTATATGTATATCTGTATATATATATATGTATGTATATGTACATATATGTGTTTTTTAGAAAAAGTTATGTGTACACCCATGTCATCTCAAAGGGCATCCGCCGAGTCCTGGCACATGGTTTCGGCTTCCAGCACTCTTGAGACTCTGAGATCAGCTCAGAAAAGTCGTGGTTTAGGGTTTAGGGTTTAGGGTTTAAATTAGGGTTTAGGGTTTCTCCCCCAGCACCGACCCAGCACCCGTTCTGGCGCGGGGTGTCACAAGCTGCTCCAAGAAGGGACCTCTTTAAACCCCGGAAGACCTGCACCCTAAACCTTAAACCTCTTCAACCCCTTGAAACCCCTAAAAACCCTTGAACTCCTCAAACCCCTTAACCCCTTAAACCCCCTTTGAAACTCCCTAAAACCCCTTCAAACGCCTTAACAACCCCTTTCAAAAGCTTCCATGGTGCCGACCTGTTCGCAGAGGGGCCATGGTATGGGTGACCAGCCTGCCAGCGCCCCTGGAGCCAAGGTTTAGGGTTCAGGGTTTAGGGGTTGGGGTTTAGGTTTTAGGGTTTTCAGGGTTCAGGGTTTAGGGGTTGGGGTTTAGGGTTTAGGGTTTTGGGTTTAGGGTTTAGGGTTTATGGCCAGGAGTTCAAACAATCCCTTCCCGGGACCTTAGGGTTTAGAGGGTTTGGAGGGTTTAGGGTTCAGAGGGTTTAGGGTTCAGAGGGTTTAGGGTTCAGAGGGGTTGAGGGTTTCGTTGCAGGGCTTAGGGTGACGGGGTTGAGGGTTTCGGGTGAAATGCTTCAGGGTTTACAGGGTTCGTACATCCTTTTCGATATCCTTTCGGATATCCAGGCCTTACCGCCATCTTCGGCGGTTTCCCACTGCGTACAGCATCCAGCTCAGGCCTGTCCGCCTCTCACGGTCGCGTCGCGTCTTTGTAGGCAAACTGGTGGGTGGCGGTTTGTTGAGAGTGAGTTTGTGGTTACAAACGACCTGATACTGTTAGGAGAGCAGTAGATGGGCGCGACAACATGATAATCTGCCTTGCGCACATGCTTGTTGAAGACTTGGCTCTAGGCTGCATTTCACAAGATTGCTTGAGGTATTGTGGCTTTGAGCAGAGCCCGCTGGAGCAAAGCCCTCAAACGGCGCGATCTCGCCTGGCCCATGCTCGACTAAGGCCAGCTGCAGCTGGATGTTCTGAGGTTTATGGTTTAGGGTTTAGGGTTTAGGGTTTAGGGTTTAAGTTTAGGGTTTAGGGTTTAGGGGAGTTCATGGTGTTCCCTGTTGGTTCGGTGTTCGCTGTACTCGTAGGTTCGTTCTCCGACACAGCACGGTGCTTGCGCCAATCAGCACGTCCATCGGTTGGGTCCCTAGGCTACGGCTTGAGACCTGACGCAACAGTGCTGGTGCAAGCTGCCTGGAAATTTCCACAAGTGCCTAGGCCATGCTGGATACATCATGGGGATGCTTGAGTTCGTGCCTCAGCGCAGTCCTCGCAAAACAGTCTGATAAGGAGGTGTGCCAACATCGCCGCAGCCATGCAGTCTGCTGTCTGCTGAAACCGGACCAGTTTGAAAGGAGACCTGACGGTCCCGTCCGCCAGGTACGGCGTCACCGACATCTGGTGGCTGCGAGTTTGGGCGATTTCTGGGTGCGGCATGGTGGTTCTTTTCCAGCTGTCCAGGGCCTACCTAACTTTAGTAGGGGAGGCACTCTTTGGCTGCCTGGCTTTTGTCCTTTTTGAGGCTGCAGCCCCAATGCCAATGGCTTTCCGTGCCTGGACATGATTGAAAGGGGCTTTCACCGGACCTCTCGCAATGGTTGCTAAAATGAGCTCCTGTTCCTGCTGAATCACTGGAAAACTCCAGGCTGGTTGGTGCTTTGTTTACGTCATGGTCAACATTTTCCAGATGATGGGGGAGGGCGAGAAGCCGGCGGGGGCTCCCGATGTTGAGCTGAGAATTACCGAATCAGGGAATGAGGATCCCTCTACAGTCCCTAATTGTTCGCAAGATAAGATTTGAGGGGGATATAACTCTCATGCCGAGGATCCGCCCTTGACGGATGACGAGAGGACCTTGCCTCAGCAAGATGTCTTATCACGCCCAGTGCCATGTCGACCCACCGCAGCAGTACCTTTCAAGCCCATTACATCATCGCATTCACTCGGAGTGTTGCTGAGGAAGCTCTATGAGCAGCTTGAAAGTCGAATTAGCGCTCGAGAGCACCGGGCTTGGCGAGGCATGTTGAGCTGCTCAGCGTCCTACTGCACTAAACTGTACTACTAGTACAAGAGCGCGCCGGTATACCAGCAATTTTTGTCAGTGCCAGAACTTGACTACGACTATGTTGCTACACGACGATGTTATGATTGTCTTGATAAAGGGCTAGACTGCGAATATGCTCCTATCACTATATCACTGCATCGCGGTGTCGCCGTGTCACTGTAATGTGACATTCGCACCCAGCACTTGTCCGCCCGGGCGGACTCAGATAACCTTCAAACCTGCACCACGTTGAAGGCCTTGTGCTGCGACTCCGTTTTGAATGAGGGGTCCCTTTTGCCAGGCTCCTTTTATCAGGCATCATGAGAGGTGCCAAGTACCGAGGCTCATGGGGTAGTTCTCGACACTCTCGTCCCTTCTTGGGTACTGTGAGTATCCGGCTCCGTGTTTTCATAGGAGCCCAACAAGGGACCAATCTGTGCACCTCTTATACCTTTTCTTTGCGTCGGGCACGGCACAAAAGTAGCCGGTCTGCAGCCCCCCGACGGCAGACATTTCTCTACGTCCATGGATGGCCGAAAACAGGCAGGCTCTAGACCTTTCCATCCAGCCTCCTCGCCTCTGTGTCAAAGCTGCATAAGCCACGACAATGACGGCTGCGAGCGTTCGCTTTGGCACGCTCATGGCCAACGCGCCCCGAATGGCAAACAGTCCAAGTGCTCGGGTGGTGGGGGAGAGCCCAAGTGCATGCGTCTTTGCCTTTCCGTCCCGCCAAGAGGTATGCCCCACAGTGTAACGGATGCGTGCTTCTCAGTCGTAGCGTGTCTCCAAGAACCGCCAAGGTTTGCCGACTTGGCCTACTACGGAAAGTGGATGGTGTTCCGCGCCGGCGACCTGCCCGTGCCCCGACTTCTCCCGTAAAATCTGCTCTGAGGTACACAAATAGGGTATATAGCATGGCTTTGGCAAAACTTTGAGCCCACAGTACAATGCAAATCCCCTAGTATGACATGTGCCGTGCCTCTTTCACAGCTTCAGCCTCCACAAACCTGTAGACGGAGTGCTGGCCAATTAGTGGCACGCGAGGCTTTGTGAACGTGGCTGCGAAGCCACGCAGCACGACAGCGCGGGGCACAAGGCTGCGCATGTAGTCATGTAGTCATGTAGTCATGCAGTCATGCAGTCATGCAGTCAATGTACGTAGTCAATGTAGTCAATGTAGTCAAGGTAGTCATGTAGTCATGTAGTCATGTAGTCATGTAGTCATGTAGTCATGTAGTCATGTAGTCATGTAGTCATGTAGTCACCTATAGGTAGTGCCTATAGTCACTTCATGAAAGTCAAGTCATGCTCTTCAGTCGAACAGTCAGCAGTCGACGATGATACGGCCAGTACCCCCAGACCTTGTCAAATTCCTGCTTTAGACCTCGACAACGGCGCATAGTTGCCGTGGTTAGCGATGAATTCTTCTAACGCTTCGATGATCAATGATGTTTTTTGTCCTCGTCTCCGCTGTGGTGGTGCTTCCTTGCGTAGGGCAGCCGTGCCTCGTGCCCTGTTGGGCGGAGGAATTCACAGCCTCGGTGTGTGGTCGTTAGACTTTAGTTTAAACTCTTCTCCTTGCCTGGTCTACTCCTCGCCCGTCACCCGATCCCACCCCAGAGTATGTCCCTGGAGTGCCAACCTCAGAGTATGCTGGAGTGCCCAGCCGTAGTGTCCCCACAAAGTGTCCCACCCAGAGTGTCCCCAAAAACAGGGGCCCTGGAGTTGTGTGTCCAACCTCAGTATCTTCGAGTGCCCATCTCAGAGTAGGACGCCCTAAAAAATCCAAATCTGGAGGGTGGGGGTGTTCGAAGCAACATAACGGGTGCTCTTTTTTACTTATCTGCCAGCATGTGGAAAGTCATCCTTTGGGACATTGAACTCGTGCAGTTCTTGCACAGGAAAAGTCCGAAAAATGCCTGTACATCATCGCGGAAGGTTGCTGCGAGGCATTGGTGATCTTGTAACGGCATGCCAATACGCTTGTGCACAGACAGTGAGAGAACTCGCATTGAAAGTTTTCTGAAGATGTCTCTGCTGAGACTTTCTTGCCATTCGTGCTGCCTGAGAGGTCTCTGCGGCAGGGCGCCTCATCACGCTACTGAAGCCAGGAAACGTGGTAGGAGAGGCAACTTCCTGCACGCAAATATGGGCAGTGGCATGCCAAAGTATGGTTGTCATGGGTCACATCAGCAAGTTGTAACAGATCTGAGAGGTCGGCTTCTTGCTAGATACGCTGCAGCCCATGAGCACGCGGTCGAGCGACGGCTGCGTGTTGCCGATGCAGGCCCATGAAATTTTTAGGGCAGACGAGCAAAGTAGGCAGCCACAAGCAACGCTGCAAAGGTTTCCGTGCGTGAGGACGTACGATGTTTGGCTTTGCCTGTCGCAGAGGCCAGCCGCAAAGCCTGAGCTTTACCCTAGCGGCCCTAGCGACAGTTGCTTCGTTTTCTTGCTGAGGTGCAGACACTGCTGAAACGGCGGCCGGACCTGCACAAGCCCATCATCAAGCTCCTGTCTTCAACTCTCCTTGCCAAGGTAGCAAGTCTGGAACTGCTGCAGCTTACGTACGGTGGATGTAAACCTGCGCCATTTGCGTGCCTGGCAGGAAGGCTGCGTCCTGGGGCAGGCCCTCACTGTTCCAGAGTCGGCGGATTGGATTCTTTGGGTTGTACTTCTTAAGCCTTAAGGGCTGTCTGGTGATCCCTCGTGCTCTGCACTGTCGGAAGGCCTTGGAAGACCGCAGATACAAGGCAGCCTTGGCAATAGATTCGTGTGTGTGTGTGTGTGTGCTTGTGCTGTCTCAAGTCCGTTCTGTTGGCGCAGAACGTTGATGCAGGCTGTGCTCGAGGTGGCTTGCCCAATGGCGATTTCCTCGGACTTGTCAAGCTGCGGTCTTGCCATTCGTGTTATTTCGATGGTCGAGCTCCCGAGGCAGACCAGCCTGGGGTGGCGGAGGGAGTGGCTGCGTATCGCCGCTGATGACTCAAAGTCCCAAAGGCCTGACAACTTCTGCAACATGTACCAGTGTACAAAGGCCGAAACAGCATCTCCTCGGACGATCACAAGCGATTGCTTGCCGACGTTCCGCGGTGTCGGAGCCTCAGCCGACCTCGCTAGGCAGGCAACCCTAAACCCTAAACCCATCCTAAACCCTAAACCCTAAATCCTGAACCCTGAACCCTAAACCTTACACCTTAAACCCTTAACCTTAAACCCAAAACCCTAAGCCCTAAATCCTAAACCCGAGTTTCTATGCTTTGAGGTCCACCCGATGCCTTCGTTGAGCACGCGAAGCCCGGCAAAGAAGGCGGAATCGAGCTTTTCTCGTGCGTCCTTTACTTCCGGGCTCTGTGTCGCGCGAGGCCGAGCGCTGTATCGGGTACCAAGTCACTGGTTCCAGCGCGGAGAAAAAAGGGGGCTCAAGATGCCTTAAACACGGGTTCGAGCAGGTTGGGGCGGCCTAGGGCTCGGGCAAGTTGACAGGGTCTGCTTCTCGTGCTTCGTGTTTTGACATGTTTTTTGAGTTTTAGGTGCTTTGAGCTCGAAGCCCCATGTTCAGCTTTGCGCCCCTGTTGCCTCCTCAAGTTCTAGCCACGCAGGCATGTATGACAACGCAGCATCGCTCTTCTTGAGGGCGGGAGCACACTCTTGAGCAACCACAGGAAGTAGGTCGCAGCAAGCATCATCATGCCTAGAGTATACAAGCCACCTCTGACAAGTGGATATGTAAGTCCATCTTTCTGATGACATGCAGAAGCTCGAGGAAAAGGAGACAAAAGTACGCGGAGACCCCAGCTCAGGGTCGGTGGGTCTACCGCGAGCATGAGTGTCAAAGTCGAAGCACTCGATCCCGCCTGCACATGTCTCGCGAGCACGAAACAATCAAGTAAGCATTTAACAACGCCGTAAGGGACTTACCGCTTCCACTGTGTTTCTGGCCTGTTTCGGTTTCTTTAGGGGTCCGGGGCACTATACGGACGTGCTCTCCCAGGCACCTTCACCTTCAAACGAAAGCTGGGAGACACCCAGGCTGCCGAATCTGCCGATCTCGTGCTAGGGGTGGGCTTCCGGGGTCTGAGAAAGAATTTCCTGTGGTTTTCTGGGGCCGAGGGCTTTAAGAATTGAGTGTCTTGCTGCCTTCGTGGCCTGGGATGGATCAGGGATCTCGGATTGTTCCGAGGATTCGTTCTGGAGGGTTCGTGGCTGCATGCAGGGCAAGGAGGAGGATGCGCAGACAACTTTGCTTGTGGTTCGGCACTTAGTTGCCCCTATTTTTGTGGGAGCTTCGGCTGCATGTCTCTTTTTTGAGGATGGGAAGTACCAGAACAAGCTCCCTCTTCCTCCGGTGCCGAAGCTGCTCAAGGCCATTCCCGGCTTCGAGGGGCTCGTCCCTCAGACTCCCTGTCGGTCTTGCGGGAGTTCAGTGCGAGCTCTGCTGAGGCTCTGCAACTACCGCAAAGATTCCCTCGACACCAAGCTGAGGCCGTGAAAAGATGCTGAACCAACCAGAGGATCCACGACCGCATCACCAGACAACACTTGTTCCTCCTCACAGGCCGTACTTGCTTTCAACTCACACGCTGCTGCGGGCGCCCTACGTCGCAAGCAACGCCTCACGTGCAAGTCAATGGAAGTTACGAGTACGTGGCAAGGGAAGCCTCTGCCAAGGTCACGGGTCCACATCCTTGATGATGACGCGTACGGGCAGGCTGGAACACCGTGACGTACGCCCTTCCGAGCACACTGATCTGATCGCGAGTGAGTGCCGGCAACATGCAGGAGGCCGCAAAGGGTGGGGAGCCTTACAGCCCTGTGCATGTCACCGGATGCATAGGATTGCATAGGCAAGATCCTTGAAGCAAGGCTCCATGGCCCCTCCGCCGCCACCGATGGATGCACAGCTGCTCCGGGATGACGATGCGCTACATTGCATGGTTGACTTTCGATCCTAGACCCAAACCCTAAACCCTAAACCCTAAACCCAAAACCCTAAACCCTAAACCCTAAACCCTAAACCACAAACCCTAAACCCTAAACCCTAAACCCTAAAACCCCAAAACTCTAAACCCTCAACCCTAAACCCATCTGAACCCATCTAATTAAGCCCTAAGCCCTAAACCCTAAACCGCATTGGGACTCTGTTGTGGCTGGTGGCACACCGGGGCCGCGGCCAGGTGCCAGAGGAAGCTGAGCGGGCGCAGAAGCCGGGAGCCTTTCCGGGAGCCGTTCCGGAAGCCTTTTGGGCTTTAGGGTTTAGGGTTTAGGGTTCAGGGGGTTGCAGCCAAGGCTTGCGAGGCTGACCGAGCCCACGGATGCCTACCACCGTCAGGCCAGGCTCCAGCGGCAAAAGCCGCAGTGAGTGGTTGGTTGAGGGTCCTAATGGGTCCGTGTGTGGGAGAGCAGCTTCAAGCTTCTTGCTCACCAACCACTGGTGTCACCAGGCCTTTGGCTTGCAACTTCCCCAGCTCATCACCAACGAGACTTGGCAAAAATCGCAGAATCTGGCGGCGAATGTGCAAAAGCGACATGTCGCGCTTTGACCTTACTGCCAAGGATGTGTTCACAGAGCGGCAGCGCTTCACAACAGGCACATGCTGGGCATCGAAAGAGCAGAGTGGCCGGGGCAACGCAAAGCGGCGGCAGGTCGAAATGCTGCCGAGAAGAAGATTTTCCGTGATCCTCCTGGTTTCAAGAGCAAGGAGGCGTGACGCGGCGTGCCGTGCAAGGCAGGACGCCCTTGTAAGCTGATGCGCCGAGGAGCTGGCCCAGAAGATCGGCAAGACCTTCCAGGCTGCAAAGGAGGCTGGAGCCCTAACTCCGAGGTGCAGGGGCGCACAAGAGGTACATGAGGTGCATGTGGTGATGTGGATGGCGCAAGGCCCCTGTGCATCCTTCAAAGCCGCACTTGCGACCAAAGCGAGTCCGGTGCCCAGCTAAATTTGGGCTGTCGGCCGTTTTGGCCAGTAGGCTGCTCGATGCCGCAAACCCCCAAAATCTTTGCCGACTGGCTCTTAGTAGGGAATGAGGGAATTAGGTACCTTGTGTCCCCCTACAGTGACCCTTAAGGATAGGTCTAAACTCCCTTTTAGCCCTTCCGAGGTCATGCAAGTCGTGCCAGATGTGCAGCTCTGGTCGAACAAGTATCGGCCTCAGTATCAGCCATGGGGGGGGGACACTGTCAACCGTGATCATAGCCTGACTCGCTTGGAATCCTTAGAAGAGGATGCACGGACCACGGCGCCCGGAGTCGCATCAGCCACTGCCCGTAGGAATGTGAGACAGGTACGTTCAGGTGGCGTTCGACGAGCAGCCGCGAGGACAAGAAGTCCAGCAAAACGATCTCCTGCTGAGGCTAGAGTAGCTTCCTTTGTGTGACCGTCTGTCTCCTCCAATTGCATCAGCAGCTTTGCCAGCTTTGCGTTGGCACACGCACACGCTTGTGCCGAAAGCACACGTAAGCCTAAACCCCATAGTGAACAGCGAGACGACCGCCAGATCAGCTCCAGACCCTCGGACGACTTGCTTCAGCCAGTGTCCCAGCAACGCGGATGGAGAACGAAATGGCAGCGTGAAGTATTTGCACCCGGAACCCTACACAAGAAACCTCCAACCTTAAACCAGCAGCCCGTAGTCACAGATCCCTCACGAACCCCTTGAGTCGCGTTTGCTGGAGGCCTTTTCAAGCCTCGTGCAGACTCTGCATCCGACTCGGCATCCGTGCAACACAGTTTAGGGTTGAGGCTATGTGGCTCTGCCGCCTTCGGAGGATGGTGTGTTCTAGGCAGTACGGGCAGCATTTAGAGGCGAACGCCTCCTGCATGTCCTCTTGATCCGAGTTCAGCGCCCGTCCCTGAGCCACGAGGCCGATGCTTACGACTTTCAGCAGCAGTACTACTGGAGCAACCGGGGTGGCCTTGGCCTTACCATCGTCTTACCATGGCTTATCGAGCTTACCTGAGCTGGAGACGGTGTGGTGTGGCGCAGGCTTTCAACAAGCTGATGAGCTTGGAGAGGGCAAGGCACAGACCACTGGTTTCGCGGTCCCAGCACGAGCCTTCTCCGACCCACCAGATCTCGTCTTGATATATTTCTAAGTTCATTGTAACATATATTGTACGCCCTCGTTTTTGCTTCCCAGACGGTTGTCCTGGCCGTCCCTCGCATTTCCTCCGATAACGGGGAGGAACCGGCGCAGCAGGTGGGAGAAGTCGCGATCAGTTCATGATCCGGTGGGTCGTCTGTATTGTTCATTCTTGTTCTTTCGAGGCAAAGTTCATCATCGCGCCGACGAGAATGATCCTGAACAAGACACTCGTCGGAAAGAGAGGGGCCAGTGGCTAGTTCTCACTTACAGTTTTGCCCGTGCGGTGCATCAACCAACCAATCAAGGTTGAAGGCGCACCGCCTTGATATCGAGGAAGACACCAAGGACCCCTCTGCTGTGCAGTTGGATTCGTGGGAAACTTGAGCTGGGACGTTGACATGCCGAGGGCACCCGGATTGTCGTGTGAACGCAGCCGTACAAGAATGCCCCAAGCATGCCTTAACATGTCGTCCCAACATGTTCCCAACATGCCCCAACCCTGAAGGCCCTGCGGGTGACGGTTCGCCAGCCACCCGATCTCTCCGCCTCGGCGCTGGACTCGGCGCAGCTGGACTCGGCGCAGCTGGACTCGGCGCAGCTGGATTCGGCTGAGCCTGTGAACTCTGCAGAGCCTGTGGAGCCAGTTGAGCCAGAGTGAGCGCGACCCGAAGACTAGCGGGGAAAACGCTTTGCCTGCACTTGACTTGCCATAGGGAAGCGTAGGGAGGAGTTCTGCTAGAAGTTTCAGCCCCCTACCATTCAGAGGCACGTCCTGGGCTCGGGGCTCCCATCAGGAGTTAAAAAGCCTGAGGGTGGAAGTTCGCGATCAACGCGCTGTTGGACCGTGTTGGGTGTTAAGCTGGGTTACATGTCTCGGGTAGGGGTGTGGTAGGTTGTAAAAAAAGATAATTACTCTTGACATATGCGAAGAAAATGAGAGGGGCAACAGAGTCTGTGCATTCCGAGCAGTTTTTGCATTCAAGTCTAAGTCGGCTCCATGAAGTGAAGCTGATCATGGCCGCGGTGCACACAGCGCAGCGGTGCCTCATCGCGTTCATGTCGCAGCTCATTTGTGCGTTTTGCCTTCGAACAACGCTTCCAGCAAATCCTCATCGACTTCAATGTACAGCGGTGATTCGAGAGACGATGTTGTGAACAAAAAATCTTGGTTTTGTCCGCGATCATGGCAGCAAGTTCACTACAAGACTTCGCACAAAGCAGAGGATACTTTTCCTCACGCCTGTTTACGTCAGCAACAGTCTCGCGCGCGGCGCTAGCGCTGGGTCCCTCAGCGTCAGCAAGGTCCAGGACTTCATCTAGTCCCGGCGCTGCGGTCCACGCGGGCCCCGGCGTGGCCCGCGCGCGTCCAAGGGCTGTGTGGCCGACCGCGTGCTGCACGGAGACGGAGAGCACCACCAGCGACCACGCTGTTCGCGCAGGTGCCCGCATGCCTGGTGGGGCGCGGTGTGCGCGGAGGGCGACCAAGCGCCGAACCAGCTTCACCGCATCCTCGCACCGCCGCCGCCGCCCTCCGACCTCACAGCCGAGGACGCACAGGCTCTGCGCGCCACCGGCCACCAGCTCCGCGTGGCGGCCTGCACGAGGGTCGCGTCGCAGCAAAGCAGCATAGGGCGCCACCCAGCGTGGCCCCGTAGATGACGAGGTCCAAACGGACTTGGGCTCTTCCCGGTGATCGCCTCGCACACGGAACGTTTTCTTCCGCGAGCGCGTGTTGTCGTGTTGTTGCCTTCCTTGCCACGCTCCCATCGTGCGCTTTTGCGATCCCAAGCGAAGTCCCGCGCCGCAGAGCTCTGGGTATTGCGGCCACCTGGAGCACGGCGCCGTCCGATCAGCGGCGCCCAGCTGTGGCATCGCTGCACAACGCGTCTCCCCCCGTAGACGACAAGGTCACGCCGTCTGCTGCGGTCATCACTCCCGGCGCGGCAGAGTGCACAAGCCATTGGGGGATGACTTGCCAATCGGATCATTCCGCTTGAGATTGCAGATGGCATTGCGACGACCCGAACGACAGCGATCCGCAAACTCGCGCCCGAGATACGACGTCATCGTCCTTGGACAACATGATGAAGCGCTGCTTCAGGCTGCCTTGCAAAATTGGGCCGGGCGAGTATCTCATGGTTTTGTTGGACGACCTCCGCCACTATTCATAAATTTTATAATCTACCATTGCGGCCGCGTTCCGCGACTGCAGGCCGAGTACGCCCGAGTACGCCCGAGTACGCCCGTACTCGCGGTTTCCCGTCACAGTGTAATTTTATTGGCATTTTCTTGAAATCTTATGGTTATTTATCTTTCTAGTCTTTTATCTCTCACTTCGTTCCTAATTTTGTTTCGTTCAATTGCTCGCAAGATTCATGCGCTTACTTCGTGCACTTATAATCTTGTTCCCTCTTTCTCTTCGCTTTTATACTGTCAGGGGTCGCCGCCTTTGGCAGGTTTGCCATCGGCCTCCCCAGGCACCCACATAGGCACACCGGAGTACGTCCGGACCTGGGGCGCGGAAAGGCTCGAAGTTGAGGATGCGTTGCTCGGCCAGCTTTCCCAGCTGCCCGACCTCCAATGCGCATGGCTACTCCTGAACTCCACGCGCTGTGGACGATCGCGCCGTATGCAGCAGCATGCGACGCGGCCGCATGGGGTCCTTGTCGGGGCGCGCCCGCAGAGGACGAGCTAACTCCACCGTAGGTGGCAGTTTCCTTATTCCTTACGTTTCTTGCTTGTGCAGTCTTGAAGATGATTGCTTGTCTCTGCATGTAATGCAGCTTTTCTTGATTGAAGGGTGGAGAAAGATGGAGAAAGTGTTTTTTCTGCCCCGTGGTTGTCCTTGACCTTACCCGAGCCTCCTGTCAGTCCCTTCCGTGGGACTTTCTGCAGGACGCAGCCACCGTTGCCTGTCATTTGGCCCCCCTTCATGGGACCAGTTTCATGGCTGATGTTTCTGTTCGACGTGGTTCCCAAGCCAACCTCCTATACGAGCTGGCTGGCCTGGCCTGCTGGTTTCGGACTTGCGCCCAGCACATTCCTGGTTTTGGTCGGTGTCCGGCATGCAGTGTTTTTGCGGTGTCCCAGCCGACTCGAATGCACCAACGCATGTTTGGTGCCACGCGTAAGAAGCGTAACCTCGTGCCGACCATGTCGCTTTTGAACGTCCTGTGGTCATTGGCATCAGCCTGGCAGTTCATGGGCAAGTGTCTCTGAGTGCGTTGACCCCTCTAAGATGTGTGCTTCTTGATCGCAGGCCCTAGCTCTCCAGCTTACATACTTGGGTGCACAGCCGTATGCACGCAGTCTCGCAGAAGAGCACTTGTCCCTGGCTCTTGCTGCGCAGGTGGCCGCTGGCAAGCAGCTACGCGGAAAGCGTGTCCTTGAGCTCCCCCCTTGTAAGCGGGGGGGAGACCTCTTGGCACAGGCTCATGAGGCTGAGCAGGTCACTGACAGCCGCCCCCTGCGGCCTAGGAGCCCCCGACCTGGGGGACCACCTGCCCATCCGATCCGGGCACGCGGCCATGCCCGTTCCACAATCTTCGTTCGCTTGCTTGCTTGCTTCCGTGCCTGCTTGCTTGCTTGCTTGTTTGCTTGCTTGCTACCCCCCCCCCCCCCCCAAAAAAAGGGTTTTGGGGGGGGGGGTC